CATCATTTCTAAAGTTTAGAGTTTATAGTCAGCTTTGCTATAAAACACTGGGATTTAGTGAGTGTTGTTGTTATAGAATTGTGATAGTTGTTGCTAGGGGACTATAACCTTCCCAGGATGACGCCACACTCCAAAGTTGCCGAGTTCTCTCAGCCCTTCAGATGCACTGTCAGCAGCAGGCAGTTTTTAACTAGAGGCTGCCCCTTCACCCAAATTCATAGTAGTTCCCCTAAGTTCTTCAATTCAGACAAACGTTTCTATTACAGCAGTACTTTTGGTTCATTCTACCAAAAAACTTCACTTCATGCTGAGGGTGAAATTATCGTATTTAGCTGCTGTAAAGCTCTTCGCCAAAGACTGCTCAGCTATTAGGTGATATAAAGTATTTTTCTAAAGGAGCTAGTAAAGCCAAAAGTGACACAGCTCAGAACTCTATTTCCTCACTGTTTGCATTAACCAGTGACAAAACCTCAGAAACACTAATCGAGCCACTTTCATTATGGTTCCTTTGTAGGAACGTCATTGGAGCTGACTTTTCTTAGTTCCACGCTCCTTACCAAACCCTCCGGTAACTACCAAGCTTCATTCTCCTCTTGTGAAAAAACATAAACATGTCCTCGTCCCCATATTAACACAGGCTCAGGACCCTTCCATAATCCTGAGCAGCGATCTTCCCATTTCACTTGAGCAGAAGTGGCTTGGGTACCACTGTGCCAAGATCTGTCTGCGGCAGACTGTTCATAGACATCCATAGTCAAAAAGTTCAGAACAAAAAGAACACGATTAAATGCATTATGTGGCGATTGTGGGTAAAGTTCTTCCTTTTTTATTTTTATTATTTGAAGTTGTATTTTTTTAAGAATGCTATGAGCCCTTTCCACAATACCTTGTCCCTGAGGATTATAAGGAATACCTGTTTTATGTACGATTTCCCATTGGGTACAAAACTGTTGAAATGCCTTACTACTATATCCAGAACCATTATCAGTTTTAATCATTTTTGGTATACCCATATATGAAAAACACTCCAAGCAGTGCATAATTACATGATTTGTAGCTTCCCCAGATTGTGCACTAGCCATTAAAAATCCTGAATAAGTGTCAATGGTCACATGTACATATCTTAATTTGCCAAATTCTGCAATATGAGTAACATCCATTTGCCATAGATGATTAGGAAGAAGACCTCGAGGGTTTACCCCTAAGTGAGAGAAAGTATTTTGGACATATCCCACATTGTTTAACTATTTTGATGATGAAGAGCATGTGACTGTTGAGCCATTTCCACTTGGGATAATGCTACTATCTTTATTAACTTATCATCCATTGCATTACCCTCAGCTAAAGGACCAGGAAGATTGGAGTGAGCTCTAACATGGCCCACAAAGCATGGCAGCTTTCTTTTTGTGAATACTGTCTTGAATTTGTTGAAACATTTTGACTTGATTGTTGTTAGTTCCAATATTTTCACCAAAACTGTTACTATTCAAAGGAGTCAAGAACATAGATGTTCTTTCATGAAACATATCCTTCATTAGCTTACTTTGAGAAAAATCATTTTCAGCATTTAGTATTTTCACTTCATTAGCTTTAACTCCTGATGTTATTATTAGCAGCTGTAATATTTAGCATTGATTTCTTATAAGGAACTTTCAGGTAAAGCAACTATTTTTTTAAGACAGATTTTTCTGAAGTTTGTTTCCCATCTATAAAGCAATTGAAAGGACCAAGCAGATGCCATAACAGGCTGCTCAGTCTTCTCTCAGAGATCAGGCCTCAATTTCAGTTTCCTGAGACTTGAGCAAGGAGTTTCAGGGAGGGCCATGAACAAAAGACTGCTCAAAGTTTAGCCAGATGTTTACTTTCTGGGGCCCCTCACCAACTTAGAGTTATGTGCAGTACGTGCTTGACCAGCCAGCCCCCATGGTGGCTCAAGGACAAAGCCTGGGACTTGTGCTGGACTGCCCCCAAAGTAATAAATTGTAACCACCAACCAGTAAATTCAAAGGTTACATACCCTCACCCAATTAAAAGAGAACAGAGATAAAGATAAACCAATCCGAGTTGCACCCGTGCAAAACTCCCCCAAACCCCCTGAAGGGCTTGTGGATTTTGCCTTTAAAAAGTTAGCCACACAAAGAAAAAGCAAGTTCTTCCTGGCCTCACGACTATGAGTGAGTGCTTTGGATCGAGCTTCCCTGTCCGCGGCTTGTAAACAAACAGAAATAAACCATGCTAATTGCATTCTGAACCTAAGGTCTGTGGTGGTTTGTCTTTGGGGTCCCAATCTGGGCATAACACAATCATTTCTTTTTTGAATGCCTGTTTCTTATCCCCTTAATTAGATTTGCAAAGGAATTACTCATTGCAGGCAGTTTGTTCAAAAGGCAAAGAACTTTTTTAATTTCAACATAAGTGTCTTCACATCTAAGACAACGTTCAGTGTATAAACTGCTTTCCCTTGTTTTAAGGATTTTAAAGTGGCTTGTTTGCTCTTATAGGTACCTTTTTGTCTGATCTGAGTTCTCAAGAGGTAAGATTAAGCTTTCTAGCATTGCTTTGAAAAGAAACTTCATTCTGAGCTGAAAAGTTTTTGGACAGTATCGCCATCTTTAGCCAAAATACTACATTTCCCAGAATGCATTTCCCTTATACCAGTCCCTTATTGCAAGCTAGCTTTTAGACTTCATTTCCCATAGTTCTTTTCGGGTCTTAGAGTCAACTGGTTCTCTTTTACCCGACTTGCTTACAAATTCTTGCCCGGGAGGTTTGAACAAAGTTTTTTGCTTTTGCAACGGGAGATTTGAACAAGCATTTTACATTTTCAGCTATGGTACATTGGGAGATTTCTATTCTCTCCTCAGCTGGTTTCAACAGGTGTCTCTCCTTCATTTGACACTGGCCCCTAAATCAGAACTGCACCAGCCTCATTAGCCGGCATTGAGGCTGGCATTTCTGATAGCAACTTTCCTCGGGGCTTGTGTCTTAGCCAGTCAGTGAAAAACAAGATCATGTACAACAGCTTTTCCATAGCTCTTTCAGAGAGATTTTTCTCCCACTGATTTTATTCTCATTTTGCTTGTTCCCCCACCCCACCCCCAGATGCAGAGCTTCAGGTATCTGTCTGTGGCTCTGTACCTCTGCTAGCTGCCTTTGGATGTAGGGGCTTTTATTCCCCCCCCCCCCCCCCGAATCTGCCTCAAATTCTAGCAGCTTTTTCAGGTCATGCATTTTCTGGGGAGGAATATGACCCTTCTCTGTTTCTTCAGAGTCTTTCTCCTGGACAGTTTCCAGTTCGGTCTCAGTTTATCCCCTCTACCCCAGAAACAGTTTCCGACACTACAGTGGCGGCTTTCCCTGCTACTGAAGGTAGCGGCTTTTTGTCCGCTTCTGTTTTCGGGGTCTGTGTGGTTTGCGTACAGACTGAAAATCTAACAAGGGAGGTTTTTGCCATTTCTAAACTCCCATTAGGACAGGTGTTTTGTCTCATCAGGCCTTCTGTCTAGTTGCCTTATTTTTTTCTACATGATCTTACACTTCTAAGTTTTTCCTACACTATATTACTACGCTATACCTTATACTTATTTTTCACAGACAGAAATTGAGAATGGGATAGAAGATAGAAAATTTTGACAGAAGAGAATTGTGCTGCAGCATCGGACATCCTTCCAGTCTGCTTTCCTTTTCTCTCGAGGATAAAACCCCTGCCCCTCAATAATATATATATGTACATAAAATATATATTTTTCATAACACCGGCATGCCTTTCCACTGGCAGGGCTGACAGCACTTTTGCCAAAAACTCTGTAATAAAACTATTATTTTCCCGGATATTATTATTACTACCCTGGGTTCCCTGTATGAGATGGGAGTTGCTGGGGCGGGACCTGGGCAGCATCAGTCCTAGCTGAAAGCCAAGCCTAGGAAGTCGGCCAGAGGGTGGTCCTGATCTGGTGTTCCTATGTTGCTAGGTGCATTGGGACAGTTAGCTGACCAGTGGCCCTTTTGGCAGCATTTTGGGCAAGGCCGATCAGTGCCCCCCGCCTCCCCCGTGGGGCGGTGGTGTAAGCCTGTGCACAATGGCTGTCTTTCCCACATAGGGACCCAGTGGCTTTCAGGGAGTGGGTTGGACAGCATGTGCCAGCATCTGGCAGTTCCCTTTTTGAGCTTTTTTATCTCCTCCATGGTACACCTTGAATGCTACCATTAACAATTCTGCCTGTGGGGTCAGAGGGTCTCTCTCCAAGCATTTAAGTTTTGCCCTTATATTGGGGAAGCTCTGTGAGACAAAGTGGGTCATTAGGAGCAGCCTGACCTCTGGGCTTTCTGGATCTAGGCTAGTATATTGAAGGAGGGCCTTAGTGAGCCATTGTAAATGAGATGGATTTTCATTGTTATCTTGAATGATCATTTTTAGCTTTACATAGTTTACTGGTTTTAGGGCAGCCTTATGGAGGCCTGCCAGGAGGCAGGTAATAAACCTCCCCCTGTCCAGAGACCCACTCTGGGTGTTATAATCCCAATGTGGGTCCTCATCAGGAACTGCCTCAGCCCCTGGAGGGTGTGTGGGGTTAGTTTGGTGAACCTCATCTGCTTGTGTTCTAGCCTGCTCCCAAACCCGCCTGCGCTCCTCAGGAAACAGGTTATTAGCAAGTGTCATGTATACATCATGAAAGGCAAGATTATAAGATTGGGTAATATATTGAAATTGTTTAACAAAGGAAGCAGAATTACAGGTGTAAGAACCCAGTTTTTGCCGGGCGGTGGTGGCACATGCCTTTAATCCCAGCACTCGGGAGGCAGAGGCAGGCGGATCTCTGAGTTCGAGGCCAGCCTGGGCTACCAAGTGAGTTCCAGGAAAAGCACAAAGCTACACAGAGAAATCTTGTCTCAAAAAGAAAAAGAACCCAGTTTTTTTTATCTGAGAGAGTTCTGCAAGAGAGAATGGGACATGGATCTTAACCAGTCCATCAACTCTAGCCACTTCTCACAAAGGTAGAATGGTTGGCGGGTTTGAATGGCTGGGGTCAGACCCTTTAGCAGTCCAAGAGAGGGTAGTAGGAGGTGTAAAGGTTAGAGCCAGAGCAGAGCCTTTGGAAATGCCTGCTGCTGAAGAGGAGGAGGATCCAAAGGGACAGGTACCCTGGGAACAGGAGTGGGAGGGGAAGGTTGGATAGGCAGAGGTTCATTTGCAGGATCTAGAGTTAGAGGTTCCAGAGTCAGAGACTTGTCTGGTTCAGGCATAGCTAAGAGCATATGGGCAGGAGAGAAGGAGTCAAGAATAGAAGGTTTAGAACTTAGATAGAAAAAAGCTATAATATAAGGCAACTCCTTCCACTTGCCTGTTCACTGGCAGAAGTTAGATAATTCCCGTAAAATATTGGGGTCTAAGGAACCACTCAGCAGCCATTTTGTTATTTTCTAAGTCATATTTGGGCCATCTCTTAGTACAGAGGTGGACAAGCTTAGGAATCTTTAATCAAGGCATTAAGCTGAGAGGTTTTAAAGCTTCCAGAAGGCTTCATCGGAGAGAGGTGGGACTGATGGGATTGGAAGCCTTATTTTCCATGGCTGCAGCAGAGAGGTAAAAAAACAAATCAAAATAAAACAAAAAATGTAGCAGGAATCTCAAAGAGTCTTATTAATAAAATCAAACCTGTGGCCAGTTTATTGGGGTGAATGCTGGAAGGTCAGAGACGCAGAACAAGTCACAGCCACCTCACCTTGCCAATTTCTCAGCTGGTCTTGTTTCCTCAGACTGGAAGCTTCTGTGTCCTCATCCCAATTGCTCTCAGCTGAACTGCTGCTTGAAAGCCAGAAGCTTAACCAGCCAAATGCTTCTAGTTTCTGGTCCTCATGCCTTATATACCTTTCTCCTTTCTACCACCACACCCTGGGATTAAAGGCGTGAGTCACCATGCTTGGCTGTATCCTTGAACACATGGATTTCTGCCTCTGGAATGTTAGGATTAAAGGTGTGTGCTACCACTGCCTATCCTAAGTATCTAGTGGCTTTTCTGTTCTCTGACCCCAGATAAGTTTATTTGGGTACACAATATTTTGGGCAACACAGTACCACCACAAAAAAAAAAAATGTGATCCCAAGCCAAGTCCCCAGGTGTCCCTAAGGCCAAGGATGGATCTGTAAATAGACACAGGCCACCAGGCATCTCATCAGACGTAAGGTGGGGGCCTAAGGCGTGTGAAGGCAAGGACTCCCTGGGAGTCCGACAGCACTTAGTGCTTCATCAAGCCAGAAAAAAATATGTCAGCCTTACACAGCCTGAAGATGCACCTGAGGATGGGGGTTCGACCATGAGAATTATATCTCAAACTGTAGATGTGGGAGATGGCTAGAAATTTAAGCCTGTGATAGGGAATTGCTGTAGTCAGTGAATAAGGTGGTAGGGGGTACCCCCAGTCTCAGGGACACCAGTGGGGTGCTGGACACTCATCAGTCATCCCCATGGATGCTGGAGACTGTTTATGCTAGCTGAAAAGTGGGGGACTCACCAATTGAAGTAGCCGGTGGTGTGTGTAGGATTCACCAGCCAGGCAAATGGACAGTGGGCTGTCGTGGACATGGACGGAGGAAAACTATAAATGTAGTGGTATTTGCACCACCTCCTTTGGGCCATATAGCCCAAGGTCATGGGTGGAGCAAATACCCCTACACTTTGCCCTTCTTCTCCCCATCATTCTCCTAGTTTGGTTGTCCCACCTATAATTCCTGCTTGGCTACCAGCCAATCAGCTTTTTATTAAACCAATTTTGAGTGACAAATCTTCACAGTATACAAAAGAATTATTCCACAGCGTCCCTCCATGGTTTCTGCATAAGTTCCAGCCTCCAGGACCCTGCCCTGTTTGTGTTCCTGTCCTGATTTCCTCCAGTGATGATCAGTGCTGTGAAAGTGTAAGCCAAACAAACCCTTTCCTCACCCAAGTTTCTTCTTCGGTCATGGTGTTTCTTCACAGCCACAGAAGCCCTAAATAGAACAAGTATTTAACTTATTTTTGATTTTACAGGAGAGAAAGACACTAAGCAGCATTCCTTTGTGGCCTCTGCATCAGCTCCCACCTCCAGGTTCCTGCCTTGTTTGAGTTCCTGTCCTGACTTTTTCATGCTATTTCATCACAGCAATAGTAACCCTAAGGAAGATAAGCCCCATGAACCTATCCCCAGTTCAAGGTCAGCTGCTGACAGGCCCAGTGCAGACAACCAACTACAGCTGCTGTGAGATCTTGTTTGCAATTTCTATGTCACAAGCTGAAGACAGCATTTCAAATTACCACCTGGCTCTGATATTTCTCTGCTCCCTCTTCCTCAGTGTCCCACCACCTTCCCCAGATATTTAGGTGGGATGGTTTTATAGCTAGAGTTTTCCTGGTCCTGCCTGGCCCACGGTCAGGACAAAGCTCTCTCACCTGCCAGTCCTGCAGCCGCTCAAACCCAACCAAGTAAACACACAGAGACTTGTATTATTTACAAACTGTATGGCCGTGGCAGGATTCTTGCTATCTAGTTCTTCTGTCTTAAATCAACCCATTTCTATTAATCTATAAGTTGCCACATGGCTCGTGGCTTACCAGTATCTTAACATTTGCTTCCCATCGTGGTGGATGGCAGTGTCTCCTGACTCAGCCTTCCTGTTCCCAGAATTCTCTTCTCTGCTTGTCCCACCTACATTTCCTGCCTGGCTACTGGCCAATCAGCATTTTATTTATACAGAGCAATATCCACAGCACTTCCCCTTTTCTTTTTTTTTAAAAAGGAAGATTTTAACTTTCACATAGTAAAATTACAGATAACAAAACAGTTATCTAGTAAGAATTATAGTTACAATATCTGGTCTATTTGTATTTGGCAAAATTAAAGAATTGAGTCTTATACTTGTGAGTCTAAGGTTTCATATCTAACTTATCTTTTATCATAACTAAGGGAATTATAACTATTTAGTCTTCAACTACATCAAAGACCCCAGAAGGATATACTATAACCTGAGAAACAGGAGAAGGATGCAAGCAACTTTTAGGAGTCTTGAGAGAGTAGATAGAGACAGCTGGCAGCCTGGATAGTCATCCAAAATTCCTTTGTAAAGTTGGGGCATCTATCTTCAGCCCACAGGCCTAGAGTCTCTCAGTGACTTCTCTCTGTGTCCTGTAAAATGTCTGTCAGTTTCCTCTCCGAAGTAGGAACCTGAAGGACCATTTTGCCAAGAAAAGTTCAGTGGTCACCTTCCTATGGGTCCTGCATGTCCAGTCGATCAAGCAGTCCAGGAAAGAACAGTTTCTTGCCCAAATGACTATTTTTGCCAAGAAGAAGATAAACTCCATATAGAGTATCTTCGATGCCCATCCTCCTGTCTGAAGTAAATCGGTATTGCCAGGAGCAGACATGTCTCATTGTCCAGAAAGTCTAAATTTTTTAAAACATTTTAAATGCCATATTCTGTAGGTCTTTGAAGTATTTGAAGATTACCTATCTATGAAATATATCTATGTATACCTAGAAACTTAACATAACTATAAGTTTGACTAACGTAGAAGACTAATTGTTCCATTACAATTTAAATGAGTTGTATAAACATAATACCTTAAACAAGAGTAAAAATACACATACAGTATAGCAAAATTAACTTTAAATTTGTATCAATAAACTAAACTCCATAGCAATGTAAAACATTTTTAAACAAGTTGCTCTTTAAAAGTAGGTTCAATAATCTACCCCTTTATCTTATCATTATCTATACTGTCCCCTTTTGTTTTTTAATTTTAGACAAAAAAGGGGGAAATGTGGTGGTATTGTGTTCCCCAAAATATTGTGTACCCTAATAAACTTATCTGGGGTCAGAGAACAGAACAGCCACTAGATACAGAGGCTAGAAATTGGTGGCACTCACACCTTTAATCCTAGCCTTCTGGGGGCATGGATCTCTGTGAGTTCAAGACCACACTGGAAACAGCCAGGCATGGTGACACACGCCTTTAATCCCAGAAAGTGAGTCTTTAATCCCAGGAAGTGAGGGCAGAAAGCAGAAAGGCATATAAGGCGTGAAAACCAGGAACTAGGCTGGTTAAGCATTCAGGCTTTCGAGAAGCAGTTCAGCTGAGATTCATTCTGGATGAGGACTCAGAGGCTTCCAGTCTGAGGAAACAGGATCAGCTGAGGAACTGGTGAGGTGAGGAAGGTGTGACTTGTTCTGCTTCTCTGATCTTCCAGCATTCACCCTAATACGTGGCTTCAGGTTTGATTTTTATTAATAAGACCTATTAAGGTTTGTGTTACATGGTATAAATTCCGGTTTAGGGCTGAGCATTCAACCATTATTTATTCTGGGCAGCTCGAGGAGCTGTGAGTCTTGATATTCAGTGACATTCATTGCAAAGAGAAGCTTCTCTGATTAAGGATGATGAGAGTAGCATTTGCCTATGGGTACAAACATAAATATTTAGACTGAAATTTGGTGCAGTCTTTATATTTTTAAAGCATGAGGATTTTAAAAAGAGGAATTGTGGGACCTCAGCCCACTGTGTCTCTTTTCCTTCCAGCTTTGAACTGTGAGAAGTTAGTTCTGTCCGGATGTGTTACCCTCACCAGAGGACCCCAAACATGGGAGTTAAATAAAATTATTGCACTGAGACACTGCCTCAGGCATTTCCTTACAGGAACAATAAGTGGAGTAGTTCAGCTAGTAAGGCCAGGACAAAATACCATTCTCAGTCTTAAGAATGTTTGTGTGTATGCATGTGCACATGCCTGCATGGGGATTTGTGTGCATTTGTGTGCAGTGTGTGTGTGTGTGTGTGTGTGTGTGTGTGTGTGTGTGTGTGTCTAAAGAAGTATAACCCAAGAAAAAGTGGTTATCAACTTGATAGTGGTTGGGCTGGGAGGGGTTAGAGGGAGAGTTAGAGGGATGAGAGAAATGAAGTAATTCTATGTTAATTTAAAACATTTTAAAGAGTAAAAAAAAAAAACCCAAAAAAACCAAACAACAACAACAAGAAAAACATCCAAAGAATTTGGGTAAGAAATAAGATATTGCTCTGTAATTGAGGGACAAAGTTTGCCTAAGAGAAATCTATTGAATCTAAGCTACCTTCAGAGACATTCTGAGGGCCCCCACTTTATTTCTTACCTTCTAAGTACAGAGTCTTGAAGGGAAGTACAGTGACACACTCCTCCCACCATGTTGGTTCAGTCTAGAGAACATGAGATTGTCAAACTTGGCTGCACATGCTGAAGCATCTCTCCAGCCCCAGAAACACAGTTCTTGAATGAAGGCTTAGAAAGTATGTAAAAAGTAACATGACAATGGAGCGAGTATGAATCTAGACATGGGGCATGCCTAACTCTGAGAGAGACCTTAGGCTGAAATATACCTGTGGAGGATCTTCTTCAAGCTCTCATTCTTGTCTTTGAAATAAAGGGGAGAAAAGCCCTCTTTGCCCTGTCTTCCCAACTGAACCCCCCCCACACACACAAACACACCATCTTGAAACAATGGGCTACCCTTCAGAGAGGTCCAAGTGTACCACATAATGGGAAGAGGTGCAAAGGACCCTTTCTGCCTGGGTTGTGGCTTTCCAGTATAAGCCTGTATCTCCCTACATAGATTTATACTAAAGACAAGGTGGCTCCTTTGTGTCTCTCATCTGATGTGGAAGGTGAGTTTCAGTTGAGCCTTCCACCCTACCTCACACCGAGACACTCATCTGATCATCAGATACATACTGGTTCCTTTCAAGTTTGAATTACTATAGTTATATATAACTAAACAAGTAGGGTCTTTCCTAGGGATAGAATCTGGTTAAATTGGACCTCAAAATCGAGTGTGCCTTGGAACATGAAAATGTCATATTTGGAGAAGAGATAGATGGAAGAGAGTGGCAGTTTTGTTGTGATCCACAGAACAAGGAGATTTGGTGGCAAGCCTGGGTGCACATAAAAGTTCAAAGTACATGTGACATTTTAATCACATAACAGTGTTTAGAATATAGTACACCCACATGTCCTACTTGGGCACAGCACTACTCAGGGGACAAGCTGATCAAGATGTAGTGAAACACATTCCTTATTGGGACCTATGTGAACAGACACAACCAGCCAGCAGGAGCAGTTGTAAGAGACCAATGCAAGACCAAGATAGGGGTGTGTGGTGGGACAAGTAGAAGGCAAAAGCAAGGCTAGACCATGCTGCTTTGGAGGTACAGTCATCTAGCAGCCTTTCTTACCTGAGTAGTCTTGGTATTGCCGAAGCTTGGACTAACTGCAGGGTGGCCCCTGAGCAAAGCAGGGACCTAGGAAACAGACCCCTGCACCCCCACCTTGAGGAGTGGCAAAGAAATGGTATCTGTTTCTCAACTGATGCAGGGTGGGCCAAATGTGCCTGCCAGGACACAGGAGACTATTCTGGAAATATGCACAATTTTGTACCCTTTTTGAAAACTCCCCTAACACCGAGACAGAACTCCTCCAGACTGGCTGTGGGCCACCTTGTGACATCATGTGACAAACAGAGAATGATGACTTCAGCAGATGTTTGCCACACTACCAATGCTAGAACTGAGTGACCACTATTTGTTGGGCATCCCTAGTGGAAGCAAAGGCAGCTCAGACTATCTTGGGGGATGTTTAGTGGTCTGCAGTCCAGAATACACCTGATGGCCAGTCAGAGTATGGGTGTGGACTGTGCCACCAAGTTGCACCTACCTGTTGGGCAAGAGCCAGGAAGAGAGACCTCATCTAATTCTTCTTCTGTGACATGGGTGCATTCAAGAGAAAGTTTGTTGAGGCAAGGTGACTGAGTCATGACATAAGGTCAAGCCATCCAAGAGAGCCTCGAACCTCAAGACCAAAGCCAAAATACAGTCAACAAGGAAGATAACACCGACCTCCTCAGTCCTCCCTTTGCCAGGAAGCTATGGACCATAGCACAGAACGAGGTCTTCCAGTCTGTGAACTGGAGTGATGATGGAGAAAGCATCATGATTGAGGTAGACCTGTTTCAGAGAGAGGTCCTTCACCACAGGGGTGCTGTGGGATGTTCTGTATGGCAAATGTGTTGCTCTGATTGGTCAATAAATAAAACACTGATTGGCCAGTATCCAGGCAGGAAGGATAGGCGGGACAAGGAGGAGAATAAAGCTGGGAAGTGGAAGGCTGAGTCAGAGAGACACTGCCAGCCGCCACGATGACAAACAGCATGTGAAGATGCTGGTAAGCCACGAGCCATGTGGCAAGGTATAGATTAATGGAAATGGATTAATTTAAGCTGTAAGAACAGTTAGCAAGAAGCCTGCCATGGCCATACAGTTTGTAACCAATGAAAGTCTCTGTGTTTACTTGGTTGGGTCTGAGCAGCTGTGGGACTGGCAGGTGAGAGAGATTTGTCCTGACTGTGGGCCAGGCAGGAAAACTCTAGCTACACAGGGGCACAGGGAAGATTTTTGAAATGGAAAGCTTGAAGAGCTATTCACCAGCTCAACCTGTATGGGTTCAAAAAGATTCACCCAGAGGAAAATGATGGTAAAGTACAAAGTTATTCTTTGTCTCCCACTTTTTGTGATGAGAACATCTTCCTATCTTCATACCCCAGGAGAGATGTGCTTTAAGCTCCTCATTTAGCAGGGGATGTTGTTTACTGAATAGTAAAAGTAATACGAGCAGAGATGACCAGATGACTAGTGGAAACCCATGAACTGTGGACTAATAGCTGTGGAGCCCCCATAGGACTGGACTAGCCCCTCTGGATATGGGAGACAGTTGTTTAGCTTGAACTGTTTGGGTGGGCCCCCAGGCAGGGAGATCCAGATCCATCCCTGGTGCATGGGCAGACTTTTTGGAGCCCAGTGCCTAGGATGTGACACCTTGCACAGCCTTGGTGCGGGGGTGGGAGGGGTTGGACCTGCCTCAGCTGAATGTTCCAGACTCTGCTAACTCCCCATGGGAGACCTTGACTTGGGAAATGTGGGGATGGGGGTTGGGTTGGGGGGGAATGCTGGGGGTGGGAGGAGGGAATAGGTGGGATCTGTGGTTGGTATCTAAAGTGAATAGACAATTTCTTAATAATAAAAAACTTAAAAAAAAAGAAAAGTAAAATATGTATTTGGCATTCTCTATCACATTGTCTAGGACATCTTTGCTTCAGGGTGAATTCCTACAGAAATGCCATTGAGCAGGATTAAGCTCATTTCTCAAGTATAAAGTATTTCTGGAACAATCAAGTATAATCAGGAACTCATGGGGGTCTCCTTGCACATTCAAGATGAAAGGTGGCCTGCGTTCTCTGTCCTTTGGGCAATCTTCACTAACAACCCACTGCCCTCCCATAGGCAGCTCCTCTGAATCTAGCACTCAAATCACAGCTGATTGGATCCCCTGACCCATAAGCATACAACTGAACTCATCATTTGGACCAAACATGAGCTGGACTCAGCAGACTCCTTGGCATCTGGAGATCTGAAAATGGAGAGACAGATGTCTCCAACAAGCTGGTAAGAAGATGAGAAAGTAGAAGCAGGACTGTCCCGGTGTGAGACCCACAAACCATGCAGATTGGGAATGGAGTGGTTAGAACTACAAGCAAATACAGCTGTGCACTGCTAAAGCACTGTAGAGTGGGAAAGTACATGTTCCTGAGAGATGAGTGAAGCGCCCAGCCTACAAGACTTTGCAGGCCTTTCCTGAGTAGAACAAGGTCAAGGGCAGATAAAACACTCTTGAGTCTTGGTAACACACACACACACACACACACACACACACACACAAAAGAAAGAAAGAAAGAAAGAAAGAAAGAAAGAAAGAAAGAAAGAAAGAAAGAAAGAAAGAAAGAAAGAAAGAAAGAAAGAAGAAAGAAGGAAAGAAAGAAAGAAAGAAAGAAAGAAAGAAAGAAAGAAAGAAAGAAAGAAAAAAGAAAGAAAGAAAGAAAGAAAGGAAAAAAAGTAGTAGACTTTGATTGACATTAAACTCTGGGCTGCCCCTTAGATGTCGGCAGGCAGGCAGGCAGCCCCCGAGAAGCCAGTTAGTGTCACATACATGAGTCACCACCTTCACCTATGAATCATTTCTCTTTACTGGGGTCTTACTGCAGCACATAACACCTCTTGCCAGCTACTTTAGTCATTCTGTCTACCACAAAAATGACCAGTATAATGTGGTGGGGGTCAGTGTAGCTGTATTTCCAACTGGCTAACCTAGTTCATTTTGTTTCGGATCTACCGCAACTTCAACTTTCAGAGAGACAAGCCGGAGCTCCTAGAGAATATTGGGAGGAAAAAAATGCGAAACCGGCTCGGGTGAGTGAGGCACAATCTATGGTCACAAGTTGTCAGAGACCAAACATGGACCATGGAAAAGTACTAGCTAAGCCAGAGAACAAGCCCCTACCCTAAACTGGATGCCCCCCCCCCCCCCCCCCGAAGATAAAGAACAGGTCAGGTAGGTCAGGTAGCATAGCAACAGAACAATGGGCCCTGACCAGTGACCTTACCACCTAGCAGCCTCACGACTTGCACTACTTGCACATAGCCCTTCACCTGCACGTCCCCCTTCACCTGCACGTACGGCCCATCGTGCACCCCTTCCCTCCTTCCTGCCCCCTCTCATGCTATATAAGCCTTGCTGAGGAAAATAAAATTTGCAGCTTGATCAGAACACACTGTCTTGCTGTCGCCCTTTCGTGTCTCCCCCGTCCCTCTCATTCTCTCCCACAGGTGGGTCGCCCCCGTTGATACCCCGCTGGCCGGGTCAACTGTCGCCCAACGTGGTGGCTCGACCCTCGCCTTGTTGGGAGTTGAACGTCCTTCTCCGGGAAAGCCCAGATGTCTGGTGGAGATTTTTGATGATCGTCCGTTGAGACTCGACGCCCCTTCTTGACGATCCGGAGGAGAGCGGGAAGGACGAGGTTAGTCTAAATTTAGGCTTAACCATGGGATGGGGAAGTTCTTCCCATTACCTTTTTCCTTAAGGGCTTTAAAGAGGCCCTCAAGACACGAGGGATAAGGGTTCATAAAAAAAAAAAAAAAGACCTCAACAAATTCTTTAGTCACTTAGAGGACTGTTGTTCCTGGTTTCCCCAAGAAAGGACGATTGATGTTAATGATATCCTAAAGGTTTATTAAAAAAAAAAAAAAAAAAAAAAAAAAGATTTAGGAGACCCCTAAAAGCTGCCAACATTTTAGGGAGAAAACTGCCGTTACTTCATTCAGGGTCTTACAAGGAGGTAACACAAAATTATCACACTACCAGACCTCCTGAGAGTGTAAACTAGAGTTAATGAAGTTCTATGTTCTCCGTAGCAGCAATGTCCTGCTACAAACAGTTTTTTTTGTGTGCCAAAACTAAATTGATCTAAGGACCAACTTGAGCCTAAACTTCTAATTGCTAACTAGGAGCTCACTCCAGCAGCCATCATTTAAATAACAATGCAAGTGCCACAGCCAGAGCCGGTTTAAAAACTAATGGCAACTCCCAGCTCTCCTAAAAAAATGTCTTTTTCTCTCTCCTCTTTCTGGGTAGACTTTTAAGTTCTTGGTAATTTACAAAAATCTTGGCCAAGTACAAGAACTTCAGTTAACTCATCGCAAAAATAGGTCCTGCTTAGGGGACGCCCTGCTAAGACCTGTATGGATTCATCAGACCCCACCCCCCCCAAGACGTTTGGAGGTTGGAATTCTAAACATCTGCTTTCTTCCCTCTGAACCTAACTATCTGCTATCTGCATCTCAGCTCACTTCTGCCTGTGAGTTGTCTCCACCCTTCTCCTCACCTTGCCATTTCCGGTGGCTATCTGGCTTGATACAGACTGGGTGCAGCTGCTAAAAAAAAAAAAAAAAAAAAAAAAAAAATCCTCCTTTGTTTTACTGTTTTACTGTGCTTATCTCATTTCATGATACTCCTTAAAGGATTTATTAATGTGTTACTCTCCTCATATATTATATTTTTGAATAAGAGTTCCTGTTTCTGTATTAAAATAACTTCAGTACAAACTTAATATTTTTAAGGCTAAACCTGACAGGTATAAAACCTAAGTTCTAAGTTTATAAAGACAACTAACTTATAAATTGTTAAAAATAAGTTTACTTTAATTAAAGATAATTAAAAAATAAAACTTATTGATTGATGGCTGACCTAAACTGTAAACTGTTAAGGATAAGTTGTACTTAAGCTATAAGCTATTAGAGATAATTATTAGGATACAAATAAAGGGTTAATCATCATAAATGATCAAATCTAATGTATACAAAATCGTATTTATATACATGCTGAGTATGCTAAATTTCATATAATCAATTCATTACTTAGCCCCCTAGCATTTAAAATGTTTAACCTTTGGACAAAACTGTCATACCCCTTATTGCCAGGGTTTTGTCCAAACTATACATTGAGATCATTTAGATTATATCCCCATTTACCAGGCCTAAAAAATAATTTGCCTTGCTATCCAAATTCATAGAAAAGGTAGCTTGCCAAACAGATTTCAAAATAAACTTTGACTGTTCCTTTGTTTAAAGGAATTCATCACATTGGCTGCTCTCAGTAATCAACCACTTATATCTCCTGATAAATACAAAAATGCTTTTAGATGTAAAGTTTTTATAGGATATAAAGGATTAGATATAAAGAATGTTTAAGAACATTAAGAAATAGTTTATTATATGTGTAATGCAAGTCATTGAGATAGAGAAATATAACACATAAACATCTAGATATGTTATAAATGATACATAAATCTCAATAAATAACCTAAAGATATTGAGGATGTATGCCTAAGTTAGATCTATGGATAAGGTTTTTATTGAGGTCTGAGATAGATATATAGGCTTTAAAAATAAACTTATGTATACCTTAATACAAAAGTCTATGGACCTCCTCAGAAGGGACACTAGGGCTAATTATAGGCCATAGCTCCTCGGCTGTACAAGGTTGCCCTAGGGATGTGCTATTCTGACTTTACTGGAGAGATTAAGATCATTGTACAATTCAGATTCATACAGGGCAGCGCCTAAGGGAGCTGCTGGTGTGGATTCTAGTGATATGGCCTTCTGGGTTCAGAAAATTAAATATTCCAAACAACTAAACACTTAAAATATAGGGAAAGAAGATAATTGGCTTGCTAGACATAAACATAGATGTTTCTTATATTTCAGAAAAAGATTGGCCAAGTACTAAAGACGACTATTACTTCTTCGTCTCTTACAGGCCTAGGTCAAGCTAATAATGTAGCCAGAAGGTCAGGAAAATCTAATGCTCCTATCTGGATCAAACAATGGCTTTTAAATGCTGAGAAAATTATAATTGCTACCTGTCTGGTGGAGGAAAAACTTAAATATTGGGCATTTAAAGTCCCCCACCAGCCCTTAAATCACCCCAATATCTTTTTATTTAGGAAAATCAGGCTTATAGACTGTTACAGGTCCTTAAAAAATTAAATAAAATTTATTAAACCCAAGGAAAGTCTTATAGCCTGGCTTGCCATCTCCCAGGGCCATCCCCAGAAATCAAAAAAAATAGTTATAGATATACAAAATTGCTTCTTGACCATACCTCCTCAACCTAAAGATTGTTAGCATTTCAAATACTTTTAGCTTGCCTACTCACCCTACCATGATGGAGGCCAAAGCTGACATACAGAGCAGAAAATGCGAGTTCTGTTTATCCAGGACTCATTCATTGAACAAAGTTCCTCATTATATATACAGATTAACTATCAAAACTGTCAATTATAGCTTCCTCACAGTCCCCCAACCTATATGTATGTATACATGTATATGTATATACATATATGTTATAATACATTTATTGTACAGATGATATATTTATATCAAACTATGAAACTTGTGAGTCTATAAAATGGCAACTAGCTCTACAGGATACACCTTTTCATATGTCTGTTCAACAATTATAAATTCTCTCCCTATGGAAGCTTACCCACGAGGCTTACGTCCTTATGATTTATGGTTATAAAATAAAAAATAATACACCATTTCTTTCACTGCTTTTTAATCTTAGGAATGCCTTGAGCTCATATATAGACAACAGCCTTACATATACTTCAAGAGCTCTTAAGAATTGGTGCTTGATTTTTCATATCCTCCACTACAGGTATTCCTCATCACCACCAGGCCAAGTCACAAAGTTACACCTAAGCCTCTATGATCTCCTCACTGATATTTAAAAAGGTCCTTATGTTTTCATAATGTCAGGAGAAGGATACATGTCTTTATAGGACATTGACCCGCCTTTATGAATCCTGGATTTCCTGGTCACACCATATATTGGCAGCTGCAAGACAAAGGTGCTCTAAAGCTGCCAGTCTGAATACAGGCTGTTATTTAACTCTAGATTCTTAAATATTGAGCCTTAAATATAAATAAATTGATACAATTCCAGATCCTTTTGATGAACTGTTCATCAAAACTTATAGAAATATGATTAGAACTAATCTGTTCTAAATGCATTTTATTAATTTTTGTCAAAATATATATGAGACTTGAGAGATATATAAATAACACATTTCAGATTTCATTCTCTGGCTATCCTGATGTTTTGTTGAGGCTCCAAGGACTCATAATTTTGCTCTGATAAAGTTCACCACTGTTATATTGCTAACATGTCTAAGATTTTGTCTATTAAGAAGGTTCTCATAAGCTTCAGGAGATCATGCCGGCGGTGATGGCACGCGATCAACATTTGCCAACGCCCACAAGTCAAGAAGGACTGGGAGGAATACAACCTGACTACAGTTTATATCTCCCACTTACAAATTTTCTTTTTCTTCTCTGGGGGTGGGGTCAGACTGCCCACAATTGCAAAATTTATTGAAGGGAGGAAAGCATAGGATGTCCCAACCCGTGACTGCAGTCACTCTGGCTGTCCTGGGGGCCAGAGCTGCAGGGGCCGGTACTGGCATAGCTTCCCTGGTTTTATCTAATCAACATTATTCAGAGCTTAGAATTTCCATAGATGAAGATATAGGGCAGCTTGAGCGAGGCATTTCCGTCCTTGAATCCTCCCTCACCTCCCTTTCAGAGGTGGTCCTCCAAAACCGCTGAGGGCTCAACCTCCTCTTTTTACAGCAAGGAGGTCTCTGTGCCGCTCTTAAGGAAGAGTGCTGCTTTTATACTGATCACACAGGAGTAGCAAGGGATAGCATGGCCAAGGTCCGGGAAGGCTTAGAGAAGCGCAGAAAAGAAAGAGATCAAGAGCTAGGCTGGTTCCAAAATTGGTTCTCTGCATCTCCCTGGCTAACCACCCTCCTGCCGTCCCTTCTGGGACCCTTGGTTGGCCTCATTGTTGTCTTGACATTTGGCCCTTGGGCCTTGTCTCGACTAACTCGATTTGTGCGCAGTCAGCTGGCCGAACTTCAGGCAAAACAAATTCAGGTTCATTACCATTGCCTCGATCTCCATGATTGTGGTCTCGATGAACCAGATAAAGACTCCATATCAGCACAGGCCCCTCTGCCCAGAGGAGGATGCACCTGTGCCTGGGAGCTGGAGCCCACTGCATAGGGGATTGAGGGTGCAGCTGGGACTGCAGAAGGCAGGGAGACTAAAGTGCTCCACCAACCTGGGTGCCTTGGATGACAAGCTCTATTGCATGGCGGTTATGCAGACCCTATACCCTTTCCTCCGGAGTTCAAACCCGCCCCCTATAAAAAACTGCATCGTTCCAGCCTCCTTCGGGGCATGTGGGGACGCCTGCATGGACCGACAGCCGATAATGGAACCTATCAGGGATACAGCCTCTGTCACCCCTGTCCCGTCATGGCAAAAACATTTGGGCCTCCTTTCTTTGTTTTGCTATACGTATAGAAGGGGGAGATGTCAGAGACCAAACATGGACCATGGAAAAGTACTAGCTAAGCCAGAGAACAAGCCCCTACCCTAAACTGGATGCCCCCCCCCCCAAGATAAAGAACATGTCAGGCAGGTCAGGTAGCATAGCAACAGAACAATGGGCCCTGACCAGTGACCTTACCACCTAGCAGCCTCACGACTTGCACTACTTGCACATAGCCCTTCACCTGCATGTCCCCCTTCACCTGCACGTACGGCACATCGTGCACCCCTTCCCTCCTTCCTGCCCCCTCTCATGCTATATAAGCCTTGCTGAGGAAAATAAACTTTGCAGCTTGATCAGAACACACTGTCTTGCTGTCGTCCTTTCGTGTCTCCCCCGTCCCTCTCATTCTCTCCCACAGGTGGGTCGCCCCCGTTGATACTCCGCTGGCCGGGGCAACAAGTGCTGCTGAGCAAGGGCCAAGTCCAAAGAATGTGAAGCTTTTACACAAGACAGAAGAAGAGGATGTGAAGTCCCAGCAGGGGGTTCCCAACAACCAGACACCTGCAGGCAACCTTTCCACTGTGGCATCTAGTGCATTAGAAAAGAGCAGCATCCTTGTAAGTGCCCCAGACAACTGTCCACCTCAGGAGACAAGTGGCCCACATGGAGAGGGCACATCTGATAAAGATACAGTTTCTCCTTTGACTACTGTTAAAATGGAAGGGGCTGGGCATGTGCCCAGTAGTTCCTCGGGGTACCTCGGATATGGGAATGTGATGTCTGTATACAACACTTGCCATTCCATCCTGAAAGCTGCCCTCTCAGCCATATCCCTAAGTGTGTCTGCTGAGGAGGAAGAGGAGCAGGAGCAGAAAGAGGAGGAAGAGGAAGAGGGGGAAGAAGAGGAGGGGAAGGAAGAGGAGGAGGCATACTCAGAAAACACGTGTACAATCTGTGTGCTGTTTAACAAAAAGATGTTCATAAACTCATGGGCCACAAAAGACTGAGAAAAAAAAATCACCATTTTTCTGGAAATGAACTAATTTTACCAAATAGAAACAAATCTCGTGGTGGTAAATAAACATCCTAAATGTGAGCCTGGAATTTATGTGCTATCTAACCATCTGCATTGTTCCTGTGTCATTGTCTTCCATACCCTGCATGGGGTTTGACTACAATAAAGATACAGGAAAGGACAAAGGGAGCCCAGACACTAAACTCTTATCAATACATTTATTTGTGCAATACAGAAAACCATAGGACTAATGTGAACTTCAGCAAAAAGTCATTTCCTGGCAGTTTTCCTTTTCTATAAAAGCCAAGGTTCTTGAGGTTTTGCGTCTCAATGACATAGCCACAGTAGATGGGAAGTCCTCACTGCTATCCCCGTCATTGAGAGCATAGCAGTCTGAGTCTGGGAACAACATAGAGTGGGCTGTGGTCTACATGGCAGCAATGGCTTTGAGTCACCGTGATATTTAGAGGTTTATACTATGATGGACTAATGGCAGGGCCATTATTTACTTGTTTTCTTGACACTGTTCTCTAGAGCATTCACTGCTCCACCCCTTCCCCGGAGGGATCAGGTGCTCTGGGATATCTACCTGGAATATATCCTTCCCCCCTTTTCTAGGTATGGGCTCTAGTAACCATCTGGGGTTTGAAATTGGAGTCAGGTACTTCTGCTGCAGGTTGGTTAGCACAGCTTGAGTTTCCAGTTCTATAACCTCATTGGCAGCTAAAGTTTCTGGACACTGCAAAGTCTCTCCAATGTCAACAAGTCCTAGGCACAAAGACAAAAACATACAGATGTATTCTCTTCTATATAGCAAGGTTATCTTTATGACAGCAGGGTCACTATAGTGTCAACTGATGGGGTATAACATATCACCAAAATGATAAGAAACAGGGATTTTTCCCACTGAATACTGGGGACATGACCAATTGAACTAGGGAATCTTGGGTGAGGCAGCCACAGGCCTTAAGAAAAAGGAGAGTGGCTTGTCCTCAGTGACTCTTGCTTTAAATGACAGTCAGGTTCTAGCATACTGCTAAGGCTGGTGTGTATCTACTGAAAGAGCACCAGCCAGGAAGACTATAGTCAATAAGATTCCTAATTAGGTCACCAGTTGACTGTATTAGATGTTGATTGGTATCTTACCCAGGGTCCTTGTGACAGGCATTAGAAGCCATGAACGTAGCCTTTCTCTAGATAACCCTCCACTTTTTTAGTGTCTATGCTGAACTAAGGCCATGCCTTTTACACATATTCATGCACACATAGTCCAATGCTACAAACAGGTACTGACTTGACACAGGCTTTCAGTTCACAACACAAACATGATCTGAAGTCCAGAGTCAAGAGGTAACTATGTGCATCTGTGGAACCCAGGCTTATGTACCCCAGCCTAGTTACTCCAGAAGCTCTTAAGAGAGGCTACTTAGAAACTTTAGCCCACACCCTCTAGCTCAAAGCAAAACAGAGCCTGTTTTGAATTGTTTTGGATCCTGTCTGAATTGTCTACTTCATATTTAATACAGCTTCACTTACCAGCTATCACGCCTCTGCCATATTTTTCTCCTTCCTGTAGTAAGGTCTGAATCTGTGTCAGGGTCATTCCCAACCTCTCTATGAGCACCTCCTGCCAGGCATCATCTTCCCAGTCCCTGTGAGCAATGTGGATGGCGATGGTACATTTCTGATGGCTCCTCAATAGGGGACGCCAACGTGTCTCAAGAGTCTTGACTCCATTTAAGATTAAACCAGCATAGGGCTGCCGGAAGGAGAGGCAGGAAAACTTCATTTTCCTCAGAGTCTTTGAGCCTAAACACAGAAGCATATCACAGCTCAGCTCTTCAGGTTCATGTCTATTAGGCCTCACCTTCCCCAGATGTTTCTCATGTGCCCCGAAACTCCACTGAATTTGATGTGTTACAGGTTAATGGTGCCCTGCTCAATGTCAGGACCAATGCCAATGGCTGGAATTAGGATGATGCATGGTCCATGTAGTCTTTGGGGGGCTCACAAAATAGGATGGAAACAGCTAGAGAAAGGTACCAGGAGAACAGTGTGGTCAGTGCTGACAGAGGTCACTGGGCCCTAGCGGAACACATAGGAGGGAAGGCCGTCTTGACCTAGTCAGGCTTCACATCTGAGTAGGCTGGCTTTAGCACAGAGGAACAGTCTTAGCTTTCCTACTTTTTCTTCCTATGTCACTGTCACCAATACTCTTTGCTTCCTGGCCCTGTCATTATAGTTCATATAGGTGTGGAATTGTCAAGCTCCAATCTGAGTCAGTAAACACCAACCCTTGAAATGTAAACTTGATTTACTTTTGGAATTCCCTTCTAAGTTCCTGCCTTGACTTTCCTCAATGATGGATTGTGACCTGGAAATACAAGCCAAACAATGCTCCCTGCCCCCACAAGCTTTTTGTCAGTATTTTATCTCAGTCAACAGAAATCAAAATATAACATTTTCCTACATTGCTTTTGGTCATGGTGTTTGTCATACCAACAGAACGAAACTAGAACACTAATTAAGCCAGTTCTTTGTCACTGAGGACCAGCCTATCACACTCATTCTAGGTCCTAGAATCCAGGACCTCTGTTCTGCCAGTCTGCTTTTGCTCAGCATCACTGTCTCTCCATTCCATGAGTGGATGGTTCTGCCTCTGAGAACAGTGACTGCACACTTTTTACTACACAATGAAAGTCCCTTCTGTGAGTAACTCATGCCTCCAGGCTTACCCTACCTTCTTTACACAGTGCCCACAGCAGAAATGTCAAATACTGGTCCACACACAAATCTCTACTTCCTCTGACCTCCCCCCCTACCATATGATCCCTTCCTTTTGTGTTCCATCCCCTGACACTCCTCTCAAACCTGGTCTTACAGGGAGAACAATTGGCCTATGACAACTCTGCCTTCACAACACTCAATACCTCAGCATCCCTGGCTGCCCCTTTCCCAGGCTTCCATGATGCTCAATGGCCTGCTCTGGCTGCTATGACATGGTCCACACCTTCTTACTCAGGTGACTGAGCCAGGCTGTTGGACTTGGGAGTTCAACTTCTATGAACCCAAATCTACCAGTTTCTCCTTCGTAAGTGAGGTCACAGTCTGTCCTATTTTTATTGCCTAGATGTAGTAGCTCTTATGCTTGCCCTTTCCTCCTCCCACCAATTGGTACACAGCGCTACTTGTCTATGAATGCTTCCCTAAACATCATCTTCCATTATCTCCACAGCCACCATCCTATCAAGCCCCTACCATCCACTGCCTTTTCAAGCGCCATTTTTCAGAGGCCCTGTGCTGTGAAACTTGCCTGCTGCTCTCTACTATCCACACTGCACTTAGAATGATCTTGGTACTGGGGTCGTCAGATCATCTCATTCTTTAGCTGAAATCTGCCAAGGGCTCCTGTCCCAACCAGTCCAAAGCACACCTATTTCAGTAGGCCCCCTCAGGCTCCCTTGTAATCTGGCTGCCCACCCTAGACATGTGCTCTCTTCCCACTTCATTCACTACCCTGCAGCCAAACCAGCTGAGTGCCCTTCCTCAGGGTACTGCAGACAAGCCTGTTCTGTGGATGAAGAAGCGGCTCTCCTTGGCTTGTCTCTGCTTCCCCACTTGCACAAGCAGAAGGTAGATAAGGAAAACATCAAGTAAAAGATAGTTATGTTGGCTACTGGCAACAGGAAAGGCTTCTACTCAGCAAGTTTTAGAGATCAACAGGAACTACAGCTGGCCTTACAGAGAACACACACGTGCATCTCACTCAAAGCTTGGTTCAAGGTCCCTTTCTGACTGGGACAAGGACCACCTGATGTAGAAAGTTAATTCTGCAAGTGGTTCCCATTATTAAGCCAAGCATGCACGATCTAACAGGAGGAAAACAATGCCACACAGAATGTGTTTGCATGGAAATGTTCAGGTGTACTGAATCCCAGTGCTTTCAATGTTATCTGGTAGATGAAACTGGACATAGTCACAAGAGCCACAGATCGGCACCCCTCACAGTCTGGGGTCTCAGTTCATAGCCTAAAAGTAAGGAGGGACTGGTGCCTGTGGAGCAGCATACATAGTTTCCATGCGCCTGCATCCACACTTCGGAGAAACAGTGAGATGCTGGCAAGATGGGGCAGACAAAGATCAGCCTTGGGTTAGACTAGCTTTGAGATGGCCTTGCATGGGTTATGAGTTAGTTGCCCAGTCAGGGAAGCCGGAGCCTGGGGCACTTTCAATTGGGATGGGGGAAAGCTCACAGGCTCCCACTCAGAGATTACCTGTCCTTTGCCTGCTGTGGGTCTCTTCAGCCTTACCGCTTAGCACTCGGCCAACTCCTGTTTACAGCAGAGTCCTCCGCCTTTCAGCGTTCCAGGGAGGCCTCCAGTACCAGCGGCTCCTAAGCGTGGGTGGCTAACACTGGCTCTAAATAAAGGAAAGCATTTGGCTAGTGCCGAGCAGAGTTCTGGGACTTTAACTCTTTAAGTAGAGGAACAAACGTGGAGACGAATCCACGCCCTTACGCACATAATCTTGCGTAAGCACGCACACTAGGTCCATTTACGTGCCTAAACATTCGCAGCCAATTAGAACTACAGGCACCATTCATGCATCAGGAATAGGAAGATGCGGACTTACGTAATTGAGCTGTAAGCCACACTGGATGCTAGGAGACTTTGTGGTATTTACCGGTTTCTTAAAGCAATCTGTCAGATAAAGCTGGGTCAGGGTCGGGTCGGCAGTAGGCTGCTGGGAAGAAAAAGAAATGAGAAAAGGAATCGGGATTCAGTCAGATGGGTTCCGAAAGTAGCAGAGTGCCAGGCAGCAGGAGCTGCGGGGTGGGAACTTTAAGGGAAGAGGCTTGTTGAGGAGGGGCTTGGAATAGGTCCAGGGAAGAGCTGTGAGTCCTGAGGTTAGGCATTGGGGTGGGACGGGGCGGGGCGGGGCGGGGTTGTGAGCACCCGGTCGGGGAGTCAGGAACGGGGGAGTTTGTGCACTGAAGAATCCCTTGGGAACAGATTGGAATTGCCAGTGCTTGTAATCTGGGTTGGGCTGTGAACCGAGTTGGGCGGGGTGTGTTGTTCTGCATGGGTGGGGCTACGGGGATATTAGGGCAGAACTTTGATTTCCAACTAAATTAAGTTGGCCCAGATCTGCTTAAGGTGAAAGGAAGGGCTGTGCATGCTGAAATGGCAGTGGTGGGCCAGACTGTGAATGCTAAGTAAGGTGGGCAGGACCTCAAAGTACCATCCAGGGCTGTGAGTGATGAGATAGGTTGACAGAGCTGAGTTTTGGATCCTGTCATTTGTGATGGAGGGTTACTGGAGGAGGAAGGAATGCCTTGGCTTGCTGAATTAGGAGGGTGGGCGGGGCTGTATATGCTGAGGTAGAGGTTGGGAGCGGTTCAGTGATTGATGACATATGAAGTAGGAAAATAGCTTTGGATAGTGATGTAATAAAGACCTAGAAACTCTGAAAGAGAAGAGAGAGGCCGTTTGTGGTGATATAGGAGTGGTATGAGGGGCACACATTCTGGGTTAGTAGTGGTGGGAGATACTGTGTGTGTTGATGTCCAGTGGGGGTTGGAGTGGTGGGCAGTGCTGTGTGTGCAGGAATAGGAGTGGTGAGTGGTGTTGCAAATGTTGCCCTAGGCATGTAGGGTCTACAGAATACCAGAAAGATGCTCTAGTTATTGACTTATGGAGGGGGAGGGAGACTTTGAATACTAATATACTATGGCAGAGGGCCACTGGAGGGAGAAGAACAAAACTGCATGCGGAAGTAGGAGTGGTGGGTACAGCTGTGAGTGCTGACCTAGGGTGTGTCTCAACAGTAACAGGGATGATTATCAATGGTAAGATATGAAGTGGGGCTGGAGCTTTGGATATTGATACAATATGATGCAGGGCCACTGAAGTCGAGGGCAGAACAGTGCATGCTGAAGTGAGAGTAATTGGTAAGGATATGAGTGCTGACCTAGGTGGGCAAGGCTTTGGAAGAACCATGGCAGTGCTGTGAGTGAAATATGAAGTAGAGCTTTGAATACTGTCATAATATAGTTTGGACTGCTGCTGAAGGGCTGGGCTGTGTGCTGACCTCTGTGTCTGAGTCCATGGGAGCAGTGATGTAGGAAGTAGGGAGAGAGCATTGAATTCTAACCTAATATAGGGTGATGCTAATGGAGAAGCTGGTGGTGCTGAAAATAGCTAGGGCCAGAGATAAAGAGAAGCAGGGTGGGCCTGTGAGTGGTATAGTAGAGCTGGAGGGGCTTCTGGGAGAGCAAGGTAAGGCTGTTAGTGGCAATGTATGGTGGGACAAGAAGTTCAGGGCAGAACTGTGGGTTACAAGGTAAGGCATTTGGAGTGGGGCTGCAGGAAGAGGAGCAGAGCAGGACTATGAGAGCTAAGGTAGGAAAATGGGGGAAGTGACATATTTGTTGCTAAATAGATGGGGGTGAGGCTATGGGAGGAGCATGATAGGACAGGGACCTTTTAGGTACAGTCAATGAGGCTTGGGACTGTGTAGATGTAATTCAGTGTAGATGTAGCTAACGGTTTTATCAGACAAGAAACACAGAGCCGATTCAGAGAAGAAAGCCAAGAGGTCAGAGCCAAGAGTCTCACCCTTCCTGATTCAGGGATCCTCCTCAGCCAAGAGAGCTCCCCGAAAGAGGAGCCCTCCTTCCTGTGTGTCTGTCTCTCAAGTCTCTCTGTTCTGGCTTCTGATTGGTTGTAAACCCAATCATGTGACTGCCTCGTCACTGCCTGTATGTACCGCCCTCCAGGTCCTTAAAGGCGTACACCACCACTGCCACGCACTTGCTATGGCTCTAATAGCTCTGACCCCAGGCAACTTTATTTATTACCACCACAGTTGCCTGACTCTTGAGCCTCTGGATGAGACTGTCCTGGGATATCTCCTCTCCAGCCACCCTCTACACACAGGTTTCTAAGCTACAACTTCTTCCTAACCCTATAAGTCTTTAAGATCTTCTTATTTGGGGGTCTCATCACCAGATGTCAGTCCTAGCTCTCTTCATCTGTATTCTCAGGGCTATGCTATGTACTTCCTTGTCTCTGACCCAATAGACTTCACTAGGTCAACTACTTTTGACTTCTCAGTGTCCATGCTCTACAATGCCTATCTCACTTCTGTATTAATTGCCCTATTCCTTCAGGACACAATTTCACCATCTACTGCCCAGGATTTAGGAACTTTTGTCTCTCAGCTCTGGTAGCGTTTTGCAAGAGTCCCCAGTGTTTCTTGTGTTGGGCTCATGGAACCCACCTAAGACTGTAGCTGTTCTCTCAGAGAGAGAAAGGGTTTCTGAGGTCTCCAAGGCAAAGGGGAGATAATCTATGCAGCACATCAGGACCTTAAAGACCAGTTGCCCAGATTCTCTTCTGTGTTGGCCTCTCCTACTGGACTTCTTCCTCCTTGGATGTCTGCTGGCTTCCTCCTGACAGCTGAGCACATGCTTGGAGCAGTTTCAAATCATGAGCCAGAGCATCTTGAATGTAGACTGCTCCTCCCCCTGTACCCTGCTATGCCAAAAAAAAGGAACTTGTAGTGATATTTTATCTGTGTACCCCAATAAAGTTTATCTGAGGATCAGAGGAAAAAGCCAGCCACTATAGTAAATATAGAGGTCAGGCAATGGTAGCACATGCCTTTAGTCCTATCACTCAAAAGGCAGAGATCCATTTGGATCTTTGTGAGTTCTAAGGCCACAATGGGATAAGAACCAGGTGTGGTGGTACACACCTTTAATCCCAGCACTAACTATAAAGGTCTGGAGGTCTTTACAGACAAACAGGAAGTGATAAAGCTGGGCAGGAAGGGGAAGTGATGTAGCTGGGTGTAGAGAGGAAATGAGATGGCAGAACAGAATGGCATATTGACATAGGTATATAGGAAGTAGGTTTTTTTTATTTGACTGAGGATCTTCAAGTGGTAAGAACGTGGCTGGCTTCTTTCTGCTGTTCTGATCTCTCAGCTTTTTACCCCAATATCTGGCTCTGAGTTTTTATTAATAAGACCATTTAGCAATTCGTCTACACCCAAGGAACCAAATCCGTGAAGTAGATGTTTTCTAGTAGGGAACTGAAGAAGGGCTCTTTATCCCGACTCACACAGCTGCCCTGAGAGTGTATTGTAGTGAGTATGTTGAGTGGAGTATGCACTATAACACAATTTCCTTTTTTGCCAGATTGAACAGCAGGAGCCTGATCTGTTCCCTGACATGAAAGTACAAGGTTAGTTTTTGCTGCAGTATCCACTAGGCCTTGGAAGAATCACCTTACTGGGTTACAGGTAGGATCCCATGGCATTTCTCCTGGACACCAGAATGTCTATCTGTCTTGACTTTCATTTGAAATAATAATTCATTACTGTGATAATTTGAATGTAATTAGCCCCTTCATCTTATAGAGAGTGGCACTATCAGGAGGTGTGGCTTTGTTGGAGTAGGTATGGCCTTGTTGAAGGAAGTGTGTTACCATGGGGGGTGGGCTTTGAGGTCTCATATATGCCTCAAAGCCATGCCCAGTGCTTCAGAATACTTCCTGTTGCCTCTGAGTAAGATAGAAGGACTCTCAGCTCCAGCACCATGTCTGCCTGCATGCCACCATGTCGCATCATGATGATAACGGACTAAACCTCTGACAATGTAAGCCACCACAATGAAATGTTTTTCATTTATGAGTTGCCATGGTCATGGTGTTTTTTTCACAGCAATAGAAACCCTAACTAAGACAACTACCAATCCTGGAATGATCTGCTTTCTGACCACTTCTCTCAGACCACATTCTCTTTAGAGACTGTCTTCTGACTACTGCTCTCATAGTGTCCTGGTGAGCACTCACCCAGCATTCTCAGATCATCCGTTGGAACATTAGCCTTAATTCCTTTCCCCACCTAACATTATATGGCCTTTGCCTGGTTGCTCTAGAGATGCTGCTCAGTAAGCACTGTGATTTTTATTAACAACTCCTGTGCTCCTAGCCCAGTGGTTCTCAACATTCCTAAAGCTGTGACCTTTTAATACAGTTCCTCATGTTGCAGTGACCCCCATCCATAACATTATTTTCATTGCAACTTCATAACTGTAATTTTGCTACTTTTATAAATTAGTAATGTAACCCACAGGTTGAATACCACTGCCCTAGTCCATAACTCCTTTGTCTCAACTCCTTTTGCACCTCAAAAAAATGCTACCATCACTCCCCTTGCTTATTTGACTCAGAAATACAGGATGAAGGTGCTCTCCACTGGAGATGGTTCATTTTTGTTTCTGTCCTGATTCCTAAGTTCCATGAGTCTGTCATCTCCTTGATCCAGATTCGTATCATCCCTTCAAATATTCCTTACTCAGTCCAGCTTCCTACTCTGGGAAACACCTTTAGCACATTTCCCCCTGTGGAGTTACTACTCTTGTTTGGTTGGAATGATAGGGACCACTTTTGAAGTCTGTGTACTATTCCTGTGATGAATATCCATTTCAGTTACCTTGACCTTACACCCCAGGGATAATTTGCCTCTGTTTAAGGGCTACTTTTGACTCAGCATTAACCAAGTGCTTGTAAATATATCTGCATGTCAAAGAATATCCCATTACCCATCCCTGGAGCCCAGAGCCCCATCACTTTTGGTGTTTCCCCAGAAGGAGGTGCTCAGGTACCGTGACTCCTAGAGAAGGATTTGCCTTTCTTCTTCCACATTTGTTGTGTGCCCACACTTATCCAGGGCTACATGATCTTACAGACTACACATGATGGAGAAGCTCTGGGCTTTTGGGGACCTATATGATGATTGTGAGCTTTTATTTTTACCTGTCTAGCCATTCCTGTTGTGTCCCCGCTTCTCCTGCTCCCGTGCTCACCTGTTTCCCAGATTCCTTTCCACAACTTTCTTTCTTCCTTATCTAGACAGATGGGATCATATAGTACCACCCTGAGTCCTACATTTAATACTGTTTTTGACATTTCATGTGGATGAGAAGAAGAGGTGCCACAGTAACCCTCGACATGGATGGGCTACTTAAACTCTATTGGGTAGGTTTTATTTTTATCTCATACTATGTGTGGATAGGAAGTGGCTCCCCAGTGAACCTTCAAGATGTGGCAGGCTACTTTCACTTCACTGGAGAGCTGTGGTGCCTGGAACATGCTGGGGAAGCATAATTTAGACCTTCTGAGTTTCTTTAATTTGGCTTGTAGTGATTTGAATGAGAAATGCTCTCTATAGGCACATATCAGTGGTGCTATTTGGGAAGGCTATAGAACCTTTTGGACATCAAGCCTTGCTGGAGAAAGCAAGTAACTTGGAGTGAAATTTAATGGTTTATAGCCTCATCATACTTCTGGTTCATTCTCTCTGCTTCCTGTGTGGAGATGAAATGTGATCAGTCATCTTCTTGCTCCTGCCACTGTGCCATGCCTTCTCAGCTGTGAGTAGTCTATTCTTCTGGAACTATGTGCTAAAATAAAGTCTTTCTTCGTTTAGTTTCTATTGGCCATGGTATTTTATCACAGCAACATGAAAGTAACTAACACATGGTTCTAAACTGTTGTATCCGATTTAAGTTCAAGGGATTCATTACCTTGCTTCTAAGGCTCCAATCTCTTCAGCTACCCTTCATTTTCTTCTTCCTCTCCTAATATTTCAATCATGAAAATAACATATGACCCATGTGTCATGCTGGAGGGAGGGCTTCAAATGGCATGTGACCTTGTGATCCTGCTCATTTGTTTTTATGACTCAGGGGTTGTTGGGCAGGCTCGAGAGGACAAGATTCTAGATAAGAATTGTCCTATTGTGCTTTCTCCAGAACACTCATTCTTCCACATGTATGCTTGCAAGCTTGCTCTGGCAACTCTGGAAATAAGGAAAGGTAGAACACACACAGGGCACTTGAATGGGGCCATTTCAAAGAAGCAAGAGTGTTTTGGGTTTACTCATAATACTCCTGCTCCTTTTTGTGTATTCTTCATTCAATTGGGTTGATGCTATCTGATTATTTTTTCTATTATTTTCTCCTGTATTATTAACCTATATTTTAAAAGGATCTTAACAAATTTAACCTGACATTCTCATTAGGTCTGAAGCCTAATATGGAGTATTTTGACAAGAAGTCTTTCCTCACTAAAAGCCAACAAAACAAATTCACAGGAAATAGACCATCTTGTGGTGATAATTTATTTGTGCTAAAATGTGGTGATATTTGTAGATGTAACTGTCTTTTTAAATAAGAAACACAGAGCCAACTGCAGAGTTAAAAAGCCCAAGAGGTTAGAGCAATAGCTAAGAGCTAAAAACCTTACCCTTCACTGCCACTGCTGTCCTCCTCAGCCACAGAACTACTTCCTGTGTCTCTGCCTTCTTATAGACTTTCTGTTCTGCCTTCTCATTGGTTCTAAACCCAACCACATGACCTCCTCATCACTGCCCATCTATACAAACCTCCAGGGCTTCTATGGCTGGTATTGAGATTAAAGGCATGTGTCTCCATGCTGGTGGTATCCTTGAACACACAGAGATCTGCCTGTCATGTGATCAGGATTAAGGGCGTGTGCTACCATTACCAGGCTTCTGCTATGGATTGCTATTAGCTCTGATCCCCAGGCAATTTTATTTATTAACATACAAATAAAATCACATTTCAGTACAAATAAAATATCACCATGTTTCCCCTTTTCTATTTTAATAAAAAGAAAAAAGGAAAAAGGTTATAACATAAGAAAAACTACATACAAAAGTACAATAACTATATACCATATATACAAGTAATAAATACCCAAACAATGTCTAGTCCATTTGCATTTGACAAATTCAGAGAAAATAATTCCATTATCCATCCTATTTTGGTAAGTCCAAAATGTACCTGATTCACTTTATCCTAACTTATATTACTAACAGAACTGTCTTATAACGTCTTTCAAATTTATACACTTACACCTCTTAGTGAGTTTCTTTTCTGAAATTCTTAACAAGGAAAACTATAATTATAACTAACTAATCTTCAACTATAACTAACTAATCTTCAACTCCTTCAGAGACCCAAGAAGAAAATAATATTACCAAATAAAAAATAAAAACAGGAAGTGCATGCAAGCAACTTCCAAAAAAAATGTGAGTTGACTGAAACAGCCAGCTGCCTGGACAGTCACCCAAGATATCACCATAGATATTTTATTTGTGCTTTAATAAATAAAGTTTGCCTGGAGATCAGAGGAAATAACAAGCCATTTTAAGTAAACAAAGAAGTTAGGCAGTGGTAGCACATGCCCTTAATTCCATCACTTAGCAGGCAGGATCTGTGTGCTCAAGGCCACACTAGGGAACAGAGTCAAGCATGGTGACACACGCCCAGTACCAACCATAGAGACCTGGAAGTCTGTACAGATAGACAGAAAGTGATAGAGCTGTGTAGGAAGAGGAAGTGAGGTAGCTGGGCTAAGAGAGCCAATGAGAGGGCAGAAAAGCAAAACATATAAGGCGTGGGTATACAGGGAATTAGCTCACATTTGGAAGCTGCTGAGTTGGTGAGGTAAGACTAGCTGTGGCTTTCCCTATTTTCCTGATATTTCTCTCAGGCTTTCACCCCTATATTTGGCTCCATGTTTTTTTATTTAATAAGACCATTTAGAAATTCATCTACATCATCTCACTTTGAATTTATTGACATCATTTGTTCAGAATTGTAAGTATAGGAGGTCCTACTAAGGCCATCTATCAGATTAACTTCCTTGAGATACCAGGTATAAACCTCACATAGGACAAGGCATATGTGGTAGTATGGTGTTCCCCAAAATATTGTGCACCCTAATAAACTTATCGGGGGTCAGAGAACAGAACAGCTACTAGGTACAGAGGCTAGAAAATGGTGGCACTCACGCCTTTAATCCTAGCATTCCAGAGGCAGAAATCCCTCTGGATCTCTGTGAGTTCAAGGCCACATTGGAAACAGCCAGGCGTGGTGACTCACACCTTTAATCCCAGAAAGTGAGCCTTTAATCTCAGGGAGTGATGGCAGAAAGCAGAAAGTATATAAGGCGTGAAGACCAGAAACTAGAAGCATTTAGCTGGTTAAATGCTTTTAGGCTTTGAGCAGCACAGTTCAGCAGAGATTCATTCTAGATGAGGACTCAGAGGCTTCCAGTCTGAGGAAACAGGACCTGGTGAGGTGAGGTAGCTGTGGCTTGTTCTGTCTCTCTGATCTTCCAGCATTCACCCCAATACCTTGCTCCAGGTTTGTTTTTATTAATAAGAACTTTTAAGATTCGTGCTACAGGCATACAATACCTCTGTTGAATTATTCCCATTTTCTTGATATTTCATGATCCAGCGCACAGATGTAGGTCACTTGGAATGCACTTTGGGTCCATTCAAGTATCTCCATGTTTTGATGCTGCAGCATTCTCTCTCCTGGGGACCTGAATACCTCTCTATACATCAGCTATAGGTCTAAATACTGGGTTAGGGGCTGAAACAAAGCAGGATGGTCGTTAGTTTGTTGGGATAGCAGCTCTCCTGCATCCTTTCTCTCTCTCAGTGACGATTCTGGAGATGAGTGTCAGCCTTGTGTTCTGTGTACCCATAAGGAGGCCACATTGATATTTCATCTGTCAGCTGTATCTACAGCTAACCTATGGTTCTGGCTGTTCAGTGTTGCATCTGACCTTTTCTTTTGCTTCTGTTGCTGTGTAGAATAGGAGTGGGAGGAGGAGGGGATTTCATCCAGAACAGGCCTTGCTTACATTGAGAGGTTGTCTAACAGGATCTCATATGATCTAGATCTAAGGAGGATTTTCTTGCCCTCTCTCCTGATACCTGTGTTGCAGCATGTCCTCTGAGCACACTTTAGGAACCTAAGACCCTGGGCTTTTCAAGCCTCATCTGTTTGGTTTACAGGACTGTACTTCCCTCAGCCTAGATAATTTCTTTTCCACTGTGGTTATGAAGGCCTTTCCAGCCTAATCAGTGTGGACCATTGTTTATTGCTACCAGACTCATGTACCCTGAGACACATGCCAGAGAATGAAGACTTATTTTTCAGTTGGTACCCCTCAGGCCCCTTATGTCATCTTATTCTGCAAAGCCCCTGCTTAGCACCCTTTATTCCCATCCCGTGTTGATATCTTGCCCATATTGATGCAGGAACATGATTATACAAGTGTCACCTCTTTCCTCCCTTGCTATGTGCAGCTCTTTTCATATTGTACTAGACCTGCTTTCTGAGTATGGCTTGGCAGCAGCTTCTCTGACACTTCCTGATTTACCCAAAACAATCCTGGCTTTAGCATTGCAATTCTAGTACTCTACTTAGTGGGGCAAACACCCACTAAAAGACAGGTAGGGTCATCTCATGTGAGGGAGGGCCTCGATGGGGAGAATAATTATGCAATATTTCTCTCCATTAAGTGGGTTGGATATACTATGTCTTATAGGAAAGGAAGAGGGTTAATCATACTCAAAAGTTTCAGCAATCCAAATCAGATGAAATTAGGAAAAGGCCTGGTTTAATGGGTAAAGCATTCCCGGGTGATTCCCTGGGCCCACAGAGAGCAGACTGGGACAAGAGACCTGAAGAACCACATATCTGGTTTCTGGGATGCAGCTTATATACCCTGTATGAGTGGTCTTGAGTCTCTCTGGGGGAGGAGCCATGTTTGGCTGGCTTTCAAGGGGCAGGTTTAGGGAAAGAGATCGTGGTGGGGGGGGAGTTGAGGTGGATCTTCCACCAGAACATTCCAGACTCTTTGGGTATAGGGATGCCAGGGTGCCAGACGTTGAGATGGAGCTCCCACCCAAACACAAGGCCCAAACCGAGATGGCTTCTAGAGAGACTGAGAGAGGACCAAGGATGGAACAGACGCATGTGCGAAGCAAGGTGGTGGCAGAGGGGGCCAGAAAATCGGATGGGCTTCAATTCCTGCAGAAGTGTGGCCCAAACTGAAGTCTGTCCTTGGGTTTCACAGTGATCGTTGGGTACAGGTGAACAGTCACTTGTTTTCCTGATGAGATTTTGATGCTGAGCTCATTTGGCTAGTCGGCCTCTGACAGAACTTTGTGTAGCTCTGATGCACCCTGAGCATGACAGGAGAGCCACGGAGACAATAAGCTACAGCCCCATGAGGGTGTGTAGCCAAGATACTTCTACTCGATTCACCTCCTGCTGCATCCAGAACATGCCAGAATAGCTGCTGCTGTTGATGCAAAGTCAGAAGGCATGGTACGGGTTTGCCCAGGCATCTACTGCATGGCCTGAGCTGCCACTGTGTCCAGGGCAAGGCTGGATTTAATCAGATAGTTCCCTCACCCACTGCCTCTAAACAGGAGAAGCGGTGGTGCTGGATACAAGATAATAAGGAAGGGTGACTTTGAATGTGTGCAAATGATGTTTGCAGAAAGCTATAGGAGAAAGGCCCTCTTGTTGGATTAACTAGCTAGTGTTTTTCCATGGTCTTGAGCAGGACATTTCCCCATAGTGCCCTCTGCTGGCCAAGTCCTCCAACTTCACTGTGCATCAAAGATGGGGGTCGGCTATCAGAGCAGGGTGAGTACCTATGGCAGAAGTTCTGTCACTCTTATGGAGGAGTAGAGATGGGGGTGCTTTGCCTTCTGGGTGGACAACTTGTGAGACATTTCTTCTCACTACCCTCAGGTTCTTCTCTCCCCCACCTTCCTTCTGGGCTCCATGTTTTCTGATGAGAAGCCCCCCCCCATTGTTTTACGCATATAGATATAGGATCATTCCTCTTTTACTGCTTCAAAGATTGTTTTCCTTTCTTCTCAGAGCTTTGGTGTAGTTTTGCTGTAGATTTATTTGGGTTTAATCTGTTTCAGGCTTGCTCAGGTTCTGTAATCTGTTTCAGGCTTGCTAAACTTCTGAAATGTGTCATTAGACAAATTTTGTTCTTTTCTCTGTTCTTGCTCCTTATAGTGTGTTCAGGAGACCCAACCTGAGATGGCTTCTAGAGAGACTGAGAGAGGACCAAGGAGACCCTGTGAGAGAGAGACATTAGATTTCCCTCTAAAGTCTTATATGTCTCTGAAGCTCTGCTGTGTTTTATGGTGTGTGTGAGCATACAATCTGTTTTTGTAGGGTGAATCCCTCAGTATGGAATTTCTAGGTTTATTAGGTATACATTTGATTTTTGAGATACTGCCAAAGTTTGTTCAAAGTGCTTCTGGTTTTTACAGTATATTTTTCTCTGGTTCTTTACTCTGCTCATCCATTTCTGCTACTGACACCCTTGCTAATGAGGTCATTACACTTCATCTATGTGATTTTTAAGTTTAAAATTTCAGTTGGGTTCTTTGTACATTCTATTAATTACTAAGACTTTGCACTTTTAGTTTTTCTTTCTACAAAAAGATTTATTTATTTTTATTTTATCTGTATGACTGTTTTGCCTGCATATATGTATATTCAACACATGCATGCAGTGCCCACAGAGGCAAGAAGAGGGCGTCAGATTTCTTGGAACTGAGATACAGTCTGTTTTGAGCTCTTAGTGGGTGCTGGTAATCAAACCTGAGTCCTGTGGAAGAACACTGAGTACTGTTAACTACTGCGCCATCTCTCCTGCCCCAAGTTTTACTTTCTTTAAAAGTGAGTTTTTTATTGCTTAGTGAAGCATTTTTATGATGGTTCATTTGACAGATAATGCTAATATGTATCTTCAGTGTAGATTCTGCTGTTTTTTGGATGGTATGTGATTTTCTGTTGACTTCTGCACATGTTCATATTGTTTGTCTCAGTCTATTTAAACTGTGTTGTAGCTGGACGCCTGTGGCACCACCATATCAGAGGATAGAGGAGGGTATTACTACATGAGTGAATTTTGCAGCTACACCTTCATCCATCCCATTTCCACGAATCCCTGAATCTCCAGGGAAACTTCATGTGATTTCTGGTCAAGATTGGAATTTGGGTTCTGAGCAGGACTTCATCGTTGCCTTCGGCCTGGGAAGGTTAGTGATGCCTCATTATTGCCCTCTCCCATGTAGCCTGCTACAACATCTTGGAGGATTGTGCCTATTACCACTTGATCAAGTACCAGCTGTCTGCTAAGCCTTCTTGACACCATACAGATGGGTAGGGGGTGACCTGGTGTGATGGTCTCAAAACAGGACTAGGATCTGATCGGAGTTGACACAGCTCTCCTCTGAAGATATCAAACCTAAATGACCTTCTGTGAGCAGTTATCAGAGCAGAGTTCATGACATTGTGGATATTTGAGGGTTCTTGTAAGCTGTGTTTGGAAAGGGTGTTAAGTGAGGCAGTTTCTATTGATCAGTCTAGCAGACTGGGTGAAGGACAGCCCTGTCTCTTTATCTCTCCAGTAGAACAGGGCAGCATTGAACCACAAACTTGAGGAGGATTGTCAGTGGGCTCCTGGGGCTTTAGCAGAGGATTCATTTTATTCCATCTGGCAGGAAGCTAAGAAGTTGTTGTGGGAGCCCGTTTTTCGGGTTCCTCGTGGCTTTACCCAGCAGGTCCTCATAGAGGATGATTAGGACCACAGGCTTGAGTGCAGGTGTCTGAGATGGTCTGCACTTGGCTGTGCTGGGGGAGGAGGTCTTTTGCTCCACCCCTTGGCGTGTCCATAAATACCCTGGGGCAGAGACAGTCGGGGGCCGTTGGAAAAGGTTCCAGGCTGTCTCAAGGCTATCCTTTATTTTCTATCTGTTTATCTCCGCAAGATTCTCCGCAATAAATCCTTCTATCTAATATTTCCTGCTGTTCACACTCAAGAAAACTCTGGGGAGCTGTGGGGTTGGTGGGTAAACACCCCACAAAATGATGCCTGAACAGGGACTAAAGAAAAAAAAGGGGGGAGGAACTAAAGAAAAAAAGGGGTGAACCAAAAGAAAAAAAGGGACTAAAGACAAACGAACAAGGACTAAATGTTAATTGGTGGCACTGTGTCCTTACCCTGCAAGGAAATGTCACAAAACACGACAGAATCTGCTAATAAGAGTTTTATTAGAGATATAGGGACAGAGAGTGCACAGACCTATGGGAAACACGTGTGTGGAGAAGAAGGAAGAACCGGGAACATGGTGCCGGATTTTAAAGGCTGGGTGTGCACAGATCGACGTCACTACTTTATGCAAGCGCATAGATCTCATGGCCACGCTGCGCACCTACGTAGCCATGGAATGTCACTGATCCTGGTCACGAGACACGCCTTCACCCGGAAAAGGCTATCCTGACCTGGACCTGGCTAGGCAGAAGTGTCCACCGGGCTTATGCAAACAAGCCCGACCGTGGGGGCGTGTTGTGAACCCTTCACTAAAGACAAATAGGGACTATAGAAAAAGGAAAATAATAGTTTTATTACAGTTTTTTGGCGAAAGTGCCAAGTCAGCTCTGCCAGTGGAAAGGCATGCTGGTGTTATGGAAAAAAAAAAGAAATTATATATATATATATATATATTATTGAGGGGCAGGGTTTTTAATCTCGAGAGAAAAGCAAAGCAGACTGGAAGGATGTCCGATGCTGCAGCGCAAAATTCTCTTCTGTCAAAATTTTCTATCTTCTAGCCGGGCGGTGGTGGCGCACGCCTTTAATCCCAGCACTCGGGAGGCAGAGCCAGGCGGATCTCTGTGAGTTCAAGGCCAGCCTGGGCTACCAAGTGAGTTCCAGGAAAGGCGCAAAGCTACACAGAGAAAACCTGTCTCGAAAAACCAAAAAAAAAAAAAAAATTTTCTATCTTCTATCCCTTTCTCAATTTCTATCTGTGAAAAATAAGTATAAGGTATAGGGTAGTAATAGAGTGTAGGAAAAACTTAGAAGTGTAAGATCGTGTAGAAAAAATTAAGTAAGGCAACTAGACAGAAAAACTCTTCAGTTTTCTAACTTTGGGGGCTATGAATGCAAACTGGGGGGAAAATCTTTCTTTGGGCTTTATGGGTAGTAAAAAAGCTCTTCTCTGAGCTTATGGGGAAGAAAAAGTTTCCTATGGAAGCTTTTGTCCTGGGGACAGCTGAAATGCTAAGTCCAAGCAGCAGGAGGAAGTGTTTCTCCCTGAAGCTAAAATGGGAGTGTAAAAAGTCAAAAAGTTTAAAGTTTAAACATTTTGGGAAAAGTTGGTCTATCTCTCTTGGAAAAAAAAAAAAAAAAACCTTTCTCTTAAACTAAAAGCTTTTCTTGGAAAATTTGGGGAAAAAAAACTCTCTAAAAAGCCTTAATCTTTCTCAAAAGCTATCTTGAACTTAAAAACTAAAGCCTTTCAGAACTCTCTCTCAAAAGGACAAAAATAAGAATCACCTGAAGATATTAGTATGGGGACCACCTGTGATTAGTTCTAAGGGAAAACAACAAACCTCTTAAAACGGCAAAACCTCTCTAAGTTCTGTTACAAGCCTTGAAAATCCTCCCTGCAATGCAGGAGGCAGGGACAAGTTCCTAAAAACCTCTTCTAAGCTCTGTCTCTTCAAGCTAGTAAAAGACAGTGGGTCAGAGTACCCTGAGGGAAACGCTTGGGAAAGTGTGGGTAAAGAGCTACAGAGAGCCCAAAAGGTCAGGAAACTTTACCTGAGAAAAGAAAAAAAGCCAAGCTTATCAATTACAGCCGTGCTGAGGCATCAAGGGTTTTGTTTCTGAGTGAGCGTTTCAGAATGAAAAGGTGCTCCTAATCGTCCTAATGCAAAGATCCCCTGAAGCATTGTATCCTCGCTTCTGACCAAAAACCCAGAGGCCACTGGCCAGCGTCTCTGAGTTGGAGTGCATTTCGGTGATACTAGGGTTCCTGCAGTTGTAAACTTCCTGGAGCACAGAGCTGAGGCAGGAAGGTGCAGGACCCAGGGGAAGATGGCTAATGAACAAACAAAGCTAAAGCCGGTAGGAACGGCACAGTTGTCCGTTCTCCTACAAGTCCCGGGTTGATAGGTCCGCAGCTGCAAAAAGAAATCTGAGAAAAGCTTTCCTATCAGAGTAAGGACCTTTCTGGGAAAACAGTAAAGCTGAACTGTGTCTGAAGCAGTTGTGCTGCTGAGTCACAATGCTGTCTGTGGAAAGAGCCCAGCCAGGGCAAAACAGAACTATCCAGGAGTAATGCTTTCTTTTCTGTCAGAGGAAGCATCTCTTTGAGAAAAGCTTTGTTTTAACTGACTCCCTGAGACGAGGGAGTGTAACCCTGAAGGGTGATTGCCTCTTGTATAAGCTCTGTCCTTGAGCACCCAGACAAGCAAACACAATCCACTGGGGGACTGGGCCAGGTGAAGGCCTGATGAGGCAAAGCACCTGTCCTAATGGGAGTTTAGAAATGGTAAAAACCTCCCTTGTTAGATTTTCAGTCTGTACGCAAACCACACAGACCCCGAAAACAAAAATGGACTAAAGCCCCTACCTTCAGAAGCAAAAAAGCTGTCACTGTGGTGTTGGGAAATGTTTCTGGGGTAGAGGGGATAAATTGAGACCAAACTGGGAACTGTCCAGGAGAAAGACTCTGAAGAAACAGAGAAGGGACATAATCCTCCCCAGAAAATATATGTCCTGAAAAAGCTGCTAGAATTTAAGGCAGATTTGGGGGGAGAAAAAAGCCCCTACCTCCAAAGGCAGCTAGCAGAGGTACAGAGCTGCAGACCTGAAGCTCTACATCTGGGGGAGGGGAGGGGGGCGGGGCAAGCAAAATGAGATAGATCAGTGGGAGAAAATCTCTCTGAAAGAGCTAAGGAAAAGCTGTTGTAAATGATCTTGTTTTTCACTGACTGGCTAAAACAGACACAAGCCCCAAGGAAAGTTGCTATCAGAAATGCCAGCCTCAATGCCCGCTAAGGAGGCAGGTGTGGTTCTGATTCAGGGGCCAGTGTCAAATGAAGGAGAGACACCTGTTAAAGCCAGCTGAGGAGAGACCAGAAACCTCCCAATGTCCCATAGTTGAAAATGTAAAATGCCTGTTCAAGTCTCCCATTGAAAAAGCAAAAAACTTGGTTCAAACCTCCCAGGCAAGAATTTGTAAGCAAGTCTGATAAAAAAGAACTTAGAAGTTGACTCTCAGACCCGAAAAGACCTATGGGAAATGAAGTCCAAAAGCTAGTTTGCAATAAGGGACTGATATAAGGGAAATGCATTCTGGGAAAGGTAGTTTTTCCGATAAAGATGGCTACATTGCCCTGAAACAATTTTGTCAGCTTGAAAATACATTCATGGTAAACTAAAAATACAGCTTTTAAAAAAATGAGGAGGAAAATCGTCTAAGAGTTTAAGTGTCAGTTCCAATGAAAAATTGAAAGGATACGGAACTAGGTGCCTCGCAGTTTGGGGCTCTGTTGGTAAAATGCCTTATTTACCCTAATAGCTGTGCAAATTTTTTTATGGTAGTTGGATGACAAAAAGCTACCTTTAAGAGCAAACAAGCCACTTTAAAATCCTTAAGAAAGTATGAGAAAGCACTTTATACACTGAATGTTGTCTTAGAAGGGGATAAGAAACAGGCATTCAAAAAAGAAATGAATGCTTTATAGACTGAAAACAAACTTCAGAAAAGCTGTCTTACAAAAGAGTTGCTTCACCTGAAAGTTCCTTATAAGAAATCAATGTTAAATATCACTGCTGCTAATAACATCAAGAGTTAAAGCTAATGAAATGAAAATATTAAATCCTGAAAGTGCTTTTTCTCAGAGTAAGCTAATGAAGGATACGTGTCATGAAAGAACATCTATGTTCTTGACTCCTTTGAATAGTAACAGTTTTGGTGAAAATATTGGAACTTAACAATCAAGTCAAAATGTTTCAACAAATTTAAGACGCTATTTCGCAAAAGAAAGCTGTCATGCTTTGTGGGCCATATTAGAGCTCACTCCAATCTTCCTGGTCCTTTAGCTGAGGGTAATTCAATGGCTGAGCATTATCTCAAGTGGAAATGGCTCAACAGTCGCATGCTCTTCATCAAAATAGCAAAAGTTTAAGAAAGCAATTCAATCTTACCAAAGCAGCTCATCAAATAGTTAAATGATGTGGGGTATGTCCAAAATATTTTCCTGTCCCTCACTTAGGGGTAAACCCTCGAGGTCTTCTTCCCAATCATCTATGGCAAATGGATGTTACTCATATTGTAGAATTTGACAAATTAAAATATGTACATGTGACCATTGACACTTATTCAGGATTTTTAATGGCTAGTGCACAACCTGGGGAAGCTACAAAACATGTAATTATGCACTGCTTGAAGTGTGTTTCGTATATGGGCATAAAACTGATAATGGTTCTGGATATAGTAGTAAGGCATTTCAACAGTTTTGTACCCAATGGGAAATCGTACATAAAACAGGTATTCCTTATAATCCTCAGGGACAAGGTATTGTGGAAAGGGCTCATAGCAGTCTTAAAATACAACTTCAAAAAATAAAAATAAAGGAAGAACTTTACCCTCAATCGCCACATAATGCATTAAATCATGCTCTTTTTGTTCTGAACTTTTTGAATATGGATGTCTGTGTGCAGTCTGCCACAGATAGATTTTGGCACAGTGGCACCCAAGCGACTTTTGCTCAAGTGAAATGGAAAGATCCCTGCTCGGGATTATGGAAGGGTCCCGATCCTGTTTTAATATGGGGTCGAGGACATGTTTGTGTTTTTTCACAAGAGGAGAATGAAGCTCGGTGGTTACCGTAGCATTTGGTAAGGAGTGTGGAACTAAGAAAAGTCAGCTCCTATGACGTTCCTATAAAGGAACCAGAATGAAAGTGGCTCAATTAGTGTTTCTGAGATTTTGTCATTGGTTAATGCAAACAGTGAGGAAATAGAGTTCGGAGCTGTGCCACTTGTGGCTTTACTAGCTCCTTTAGAAAAATACTTTATATCACCTAATAGCTGTGCAGTTTTGGTGAAGAGCTTTACAGCAGCTAAATACGGTAATTTCATCCTCAGCATGAAGTGAAGTTTTTAGGTAGAACGAACCAAAAGTACTGCTGTAATAGAAATATATTTGTCTGAATTGAAGCACTTAGGGGAGCTATTATGAATTTGGGTGAAGGGACAGCCTCTAGTTAAAAACCATTTACCGCTGACAGTGCATCTCTGCCGGTTCCAGAATGGCTGAGAGAACTGGCAACTTTGGGGTGTGGCTTCATCCTAAGAATGTTACAGTCCCCTAGCAACAAGTATCACAACTCTATAACAACAACACTCACTAAATCCCAGTGTTGTATAGCAAAGCTGACTATAAACTCTAAACTTTAGAAATGATGTATGTACTTCCTGTCTAGTTAAGAGAATCTTTCTAATAGAGATAGTGATGATAATTAAGAGTAAGAAGTAGAAAAAGATGAAAGTAAGATATGTGAGTTTGTAGAAATTCTGTCTTGTTAGATCTCTGTGTTAAGAAATCTTTAGGTGTTTGCTAATTTAAATATATGCTAATGGTAGCCCTATATAAGTTTGTAAAATAGATCCATAGAGTTCCTTTAAGAATATAAGCTTGCAAGAAGTATCTAAAGTAGTCTTAAGACATATAGTAATAAGCTTATAAGAAGTAAAGATGCTAGTTGTAAATGTAAGTTTAAATAAGAAATAAGATGGAATGAATATAAGAAATATATAAGAAGTAATAAGAAATATATTTGATAAAGTAGTTCTACAGTTTCCTTAAAGAGTATATAAATAAGTAGATGTTAATATGTTATATGTGAGTTTGTAAAAATGTGTAAATGTTGAGTGTGAGTTTATGCTTAAGCACATGTTATATGTGAGTTTGTAAAAGTGTAAATATTGAGTGTGAATCTATGCTTAATGTATATGGTAAAAGAATCTGAGACACAGAAGATAGTGTCCTAGTAGACTGCAAAGTAGGCAGTCTGAATGGTTTCAAAAGCTCCAGAAGCTGCTAAGAAGCTAAGAATGGTGGACACCAGAACCAGCACAACAAGGCATCTGCTGCTGAGATCCATGGAAAATCAACACAACACAGAAAAACCTGAGCTAACATCAAAAACGGTGCGGTTTAGAATACTACTGTACCTAAAAAGGTCTCTGTCTGTGAGAACAAAAGTTACAGAGACGCTTGTATGAACTAAAATTGTTAATGCAAAAAGTTTTGGTTGTAAAATGTCTCTTCATATTTGGAAGTGAAAGCCTGATACCAGAATTTATTTCTTGTTTGAACTTTTTGAACTTAAAATGAGATAAAACTATAAAAAGATTTGTTATGGATTTCTTCATATTTGGAAGGCTAGTACCAGAATTTATAATTTGAATTTGGGGATGGGTTTATAGAAATTGTGTAAGTTTGGGTTCCTCTAACTAGGTTTGAGATTTTTGTTTAAAAGATTATAAAGAAAAGTAGTTATGAGTAAATTAAGGTTGAATGTATGTTTGCAGAAATTATGTTTAACCTATTGATATTAATGCACCCTGGTTTTGTGGAGTTAAGGAAATATTTAGGTTTGATGTGAATACATCAGAAGTTTTTCCTATGTTGTAGCTAGAGTTTTCCTGCCTGGCCCACAGTCAGGACAAATCTCTGTCACCCGCCAGTCCCACAGCCGCTCAGACCCAACCAAGTAAACACAGAGACTTATATTGCTTACTAACTGTGTGGCCATAGCAGGCTTCTTGCTAACTGTTCTTATATCTTAAATTAATCCATTTCTATAAATCTATACCATGCCACATAGCTCGTGGCTTACCGGCATCTTCACATGCTGCTTGTCATGGTGGCAGCTGGCAGTGTCTCCCTCCTCCCTTTTCACTTCCCAGAATTCTCTCAATTCTCCTCTCTGTTAGTCCCGCCTATACTTCCTGCCTGGCCACTGGCCAATCAGTGTTTTATTTATTGACCAATCAGAGCAATTTGACATACAGACCATCCCACAGCACTATGTTCTGTTAGCAAGAAAATTCAAATGATTAAGAGTTAAAGTTGTAAGACTGAGAAAATTGTTAACTATATATAGCACCATATATGTTAATTCAAATGGTTCTGTAAAGAGTTTGCTTTGAATTGTAAGACTGGGAGAATTGTGACCATGTATAGCAATATTTATGTTAACCTGTTAATGGTAATGATGAAGCTAAGGGATTCTTTAAGTTTGCAATTACATTAAGTTTTTGGTTTAGAAATGACTGATGCAGCTAAAGACTGCTGTAGTCACCTTGGACCTAATTCAAAAGAGAAATGCCATCTTTATCATCCTCTACTCCCATACTGGGAGGTGTAACAGCTATGGAGATTGCTGTAAGCCATTAATAATTAGTTATTTTTTATATATTAAGACAGGGGGACCTGTGGGAGCCCGTTTCCAGGTTCCTCGTGGCTTTACCCAGCAGGTCCGCATAGAGGATGATTTGGACCACGGGCCTGAGTGCAGGGGTCTGAGATGGTCTGCACTTGGCTGTGCTGGGGGAGGAGGTCTTTTGCTCCACCCCTTGGCATCTCCATAAATACCCTGGGGCAGAGACAGTCGGGGCCCATTGGAAAAGGTTCCAGGCCATCTCGAGACTATCCTTTATTTTCTAACTGTTTATCTCTGCAAGATTCTCCACAATAAATCCTTCTATCTAGTATTTCCTGCTACTCACACTCAAGAAAACTCTGGGGAGCTGTGGGGTTGGTGGGTAAACGCCCCACAGGTTGTGAGTTGAGAAGCCTAGGGTACAGGAAAGTAAGGGAGCCCAGCAGTGGGACCACAGGAGTTAATATTGGAATTCATGAGTGGGGTGCATGGACAGGTCCATAAAGTACATTATCCAAGCTCTCAGTGCCACTCTGAGCCTGAATGACCTGGCCAGTCCTGTTGGGCTGCCTGATACCATACAAAGCCATATCCTGGGCTCAACACAAATGTAGGCACACAACAATAGATAGCTGCTGTTCATAGCTCCTGGCTGCAGAAACACGTTCATTCGTCAGTGTAGGTTGCTAGAGCTAGGAGCAAATATGTGAGAAAGATCCTGGTTTTCTGAGATCCTAAAGGGTCTGTCTTTAAAGCAGGAGGGATGAAAGCTGGAAGTCCTTGGCAGGAAGTTCACAAGTTTGCTAGCTCCTGCTCCAGACTCCTGGAGTAAGGTGTAGGCAGCCCAGGATGGCCAAGGAAGTGTAAGAGCTAGAGACTAGGAAGTTAGAACCACCAGAGGCTAGTGTTAAGGGCCCCCCCCCCCCCGACACACACACACACCACTTTCTGATCTTATTCACAGAGTGAACAGTATCCACTTAGCCCTTTCACTGGACACCAAGCCCACACAAGATCTCTGGCTGCACGTGAGGTCCTCACATGTGTCCACCCCACCCATACTTAACAGATAGAGCATCAACATGGCAGAGTCAGGCTCCCAAACTGAACTTACATCCAGCATTTCTCCCTACAACTAGTGCACTCCCCTCCAACCAAAGAGCAGAAGGACCCTACTTGCTTCTAAAGGAATCTAAGCCCTTCCCACCTCTTGGTGCTTTCCATGTGAACTCAAAGTCAGGTTGAAAAGTGTTTTTTTTGTTTGTTTGTTTTTGTTTTTTTGTAGAAAGGCCTCAGTGAACAGAAAGGTGTCTGGCTGGCTGGAAGTGGTTGCCGAAAACAGGGTTCCAACCAGCAAAGGATTCCAGCACTCAGGCACAAAAAACAAAAACAGAGGCTTTCGGTATAGAGCAGTACCAGGGAGTCCCCCCCCCCCCCCCCACACACACACACAGTCACTTAGTGAACCCACCTGAGCTACAGGGAGGTGTAGAGATGTTTCCTGCATACACCTCCAGGAGGAGTTGATGTAGCACCAGGCAGGCTGTGTCAGGCTGCCTCTGGCATAGTGTCCACACTGCTTGTTCTTAGGGAACAGAAGCAGAGGTGAATTTCACCACAGATAAATACATCTTCAGCCTTGAATGCAACCAAGCAAACTTCACAGGTCCTCAGCAACAACCTGGCAACTGAACCGTACAGATATTAAAGCCAAATGAAGGGATTTGGGCTTCATCTACATGCTGGATGTTGCAAAAAGGAAGGCAGAAATCAGCCTTTTTAACCAGCACATGCTGAACCCTCCTAAGTGATGCCATCCCAATGTGTGCTCAGAGGCCAGTGGTCTTGGGAGACAGCCCTGAGCGAAGGCTCCACAAGGAAGGCCACTATGGCCAGCTCAGCTCATTCTTACCCATCCACAGGTCAGTCAGCAGACCCGCAGGTGGCATTCTGAAGCTCAAGACAGTTCCCATTTCTGGGGGAACACTGAGCAGGCCCATCATGAGCATGTCAGGGCCAGGACACAGCCTCCACTCGAGGAGGAGAGGAAACCTTGCAGGTACAAACTTTCTCTTCTTTTAAGTTTGATTTTTACTTATGTGTGTGTCACAGGTGTGCTGATATCCTTGGAGGCCAGTAAAGAGTGGGAGATTTCCTGAAGCTGAATGTGCAGGTAGTTGTGAGCTGTCTGATGTGGGTCCTGAGACCTGAACCCAGGTCCTCTGGAAGAGCAGGAGGCATTCAACTGCTGTGCCATCTCTTCAGCTCTAGCTACAAGCCTTATGAGTGGACAAGAATCTTTCCCAAGCTACAGTTTTCTGTACACTCTGCTCTCTTCTTTCATGGAGGTGTCTAGAGCAGTGAACACCACCTAGAATTAGGTGGAGGACCCCCAATTCTTACTTGCAAGAGGAGAGACACATCCAGGCCTAGCAATCTGCATGTATCTGGGCAAAGGCATCCTGGAAGTTTAAACTCTGGGACACCTGGTGGTTGATATGTTGGGACTTCATTACATTGCAGTGCCTTTACTAGATCTCCCCACAGATGTATAGGTGACCCCCAAACAGCTGCACCCTTGAAAACTCCCACCCCAACATGGATGGCAACTTCCCTGAAGCTTCAAAGATGGAGTCTCCTCTTCATTAACCTTCCACCTCTTAACATGCTCTAGTACCTCCTGAGACCACAGCTGGGAAGGGTGACAAGAGGGAGTGAGTGAGTGGTTGCAGTCTGAGGTGAGGATCAGATGACCCCATTCCCCCCTCCTGTGAATGAGTGCTGATAATCCCAGTCTTTGGAGAGTGTGGTTCAGGCAAACAAACACAGCTGCAGTGGTAAAGGTGCTACTACTAGCCATGCTATGCCCAGAGGACAGCGTTCCACAACAACTTCTTCAGTCCTGCCCTTCCGTGAGAAGCTTCATGAAGATAGGTCAGTTTGGAAAATCAGAACCCTTCCCGGGTCAGTGTTAGAGAGCAAAGGGAGGTGACCAGAAAACCCCTTCATTCAGACAAAATAGAGTGCCATGGTGACAGAGCAAGCCTGCTCACTTAGTCACAGTGACATACTTCAAAATATCTGATTGGGCATTTGAGTTTTAAATATTTGGTTTTGAGCTTATGTTTTACAAAGTAAGGAAATCTGTTGCCTTCCAGTGTTAATAGTTGAACACCAGCATGTTGGCGTCCCCTGGTGGATACGTTTAGAATCCCTGCTTTAGTGCACTGCTGGCAGCAGCCCTGGGCTTGCCTGCTCCAAAGAGCTACCTTCTGCTCACCAGGAGCTGAGCAGGCTGAACCAATGAATGGCGTGAGGGAAAAGTCCAGGCTCAGAAAGGAGGAGAGAGGAAAGTGGGGAGATCTGTACAGAATGTGAGGGGAGTGAGAAGGACAATTGAGAAGTTGATGTGGAACACCAGAAGCAAGCAAAGATGTGTGTGACCTTTTGCATGAGCTGTTCATCTCACAAACTACTTGACACCGCATGTGAACCAGCTTGGTAGTGTAGCATGAATCTTAGAGGTCTTATTAATAAAAATCAAGCCTGAGGCCAGTTATTGGGGTGAATGCTGGAAGATCAGAGAGACAGAAAAAGCCACAGCTTCCTCACCTTGCCAGTTCCTCAGCTGATCCTGTTTATTCAGACTGGAAGCCTCTGAGTCCTCATATTCCAATGGATCTCAGCTGAACTGCTGCTAGAAGCCTAAAAGCTTAACCAGCCAAACGCTTCTAGTTTCTGGTCCTCACGCCTTATATACCTTTCTATCTGCCACCACTCCCTGGGATTAAAGGCTCACTTCTTGGGATTAAAGACATGTGTCACCATGCCTGGCTGTTTCCAATGTGGCCTTGAACTCACAGAGATCCAGAGGGATTTCTGCCTCTGGAATGCTAGGATTAAAGGTGTGTGCTACCACTGCCTATCCTCTATGTTTAATATTGTGGCTGTTCTGTCTCTGACCCCAGATAAGTTTATTAGGGTGCACAATATTACAGGGAACACAATACCACCACATGGTAGCTCTGTAAAGGTCAGAACTGCTGAGCAGCGCAGCCCCCAGTCTGTCTCCATGTGTTCCATGGGGCTCCTCATGCACCTTTAGGGAACAAAGACAGAGTTAAAGTCTGGTTGTGATGCAATTCACTTTCATCATCCTCTGAAGCCAAGGACAGCCTGAGCTGCTACAGACCATGGTGATCCAGGCCTGGCTATGTTCATCTACAGTTTCCAGACAGCAGGAGAGCAGAGTCCCATGGCTGCCTTGTACATCTCGACACAGCCACTTCTGAGAATATTCAGTTGCATGCTTGGCACTCTTGGCAGGTACAATGAATGTTGTATTACATTTGGGGACACAATTTCATGTGTTCACAGAGTTTAACCCTGCCCTTCTTACTACAGAGTGAGTGTCCTCACAGGCACCATGTTGAATATACTGTGGGTTATTCACTCTCATGCATGTTATTAACATCATACTTCTTATCCCAGTGAGTCCTTGAAGCCTACTAAAGAATGCTTACAGGGATACAGCAGTGAGTCGAAGGAATAGAGCCTACCACAAAGCTTATTCAAGGAACCCTGTCACACAAAGAAATAAAATATCCGAATTCTCTTCAAAGAATTCATCTTATGAGTGGACATGAATGTTTCCCAAGCTACAGTTTTCTGTACACTCTGCCTCTTTCTTTCATGGAGGTGTCTAGAACAGTGAGTACCACCTAGAATTAGGTGGAGGGCCCCCAATTCTTACTTGCAAGAGAAGATACACATCCAGGCCTAGAAATATGCATATTGTAAGGTTTTGGTCCTTATTTACATCCTTTAATTATGTCATCAGCCTTCGCTGGCTTCCCAGCCTAAAAAGTGGTTGAGCCCTCTGTTGGCTCTCTCTGTCCCCTCTCCTTTGCGCTCCTTCCCCCCGTCGGTCCCCCTCTCTCCCTCTCCCCCCCTTGTTTCTCTCTCTCTCTCTCCTCTCTCTCTCTCTGTCTTTCTCTGTCTCTCCCCCACCCCAATAAAGCTCTAAAAAGGTAACCATGGCTATGGTTCTTTCAATCAGCACGCTCCTCCGCGGGCATGGCCGCCGCGTGCGGTGACCAGCCACGAGGGGCAGCTCGGGGGCATAACCAACACATATGCCTGGCCAAAAGCATTCTAGAAGATTAGAATGATTATAAAGATAAAAAAATAAGGTTGAGAATATTCAAATAAGATACAACCTGTCAAACCCTGGGCTCCATATGCACACATACAGTCCCATCCACACAAAAAACATACAATGCACACACCCTGCCACAGTGGCAGGGTAGCTGAGTGTTAATTTTCTCTTGT